GCCGAGCTTCCATGACCTGTTAGAAACAATATCTTTTGACACCGTGTTCTTGTGTGACTACACAATTTTGGATTGTTTTAAGGATACAAATAAGCACAGGTTCTTCTTTTGGCGGGATAAAATTGATAAGTCTGATCGCTCTCGGTTCAATCAACTCTGCTTCATAGCTGATCGACAGCTCCGATTCAAACAAATTTTTATATGCAAGAGAGAACAAGTACCAGAAGCAATCCATACTGCCACTAGCCATGGCGAAGAAGGTAGTCAGAACAGCAATGATTAAAGTTGGCATCTGCTTGCCATTTACAGTATGCACTTACCGGGCAAAGAAGAGTCATCACAGCGAAAAAGGATCGAAGGAGCAAATCAATGGCATCCGAACAACTAAATTTAACACACTTGCCACAGGTGTGGAACCGCTCATGTCTATGCATGTCAGCTTTTTTTGTGAAACTTCACGGGGTGTTGGCCATGGCCATTGATAGCTTCGTAACTACTTCCGGCTGTAGAAATATCGGTGTTAAAGCTTCTTTGTCTGATATGCCTTCCTTCCTACCTGCCTGTGCTTCACAGACTCACCGATCTTCGTCAAGACAACTTGTTGGTAGCTTAAGTCTCATGGTGCAGTCAATAGCCGGATCGTACTCAAGAGGCAAAGCTTTCAGGTCAGTAAAAGCACGAAGGACATCAGAGTACGGTATGGTAGTAGCTCAAAAAGCTTTACGCATGTGATACCGCAGATCGATGACAGAGTGCAAAACTGGACGTTTCGCGAGAATGCTTCATACTTGTTAATGTGCTAGCCGGCATAGCATCTGAAGCCTATTTGTCCTCGCTCATAAGCACAGTCGTCACTTGCCTTTCATCTCAGGCACCTCTAGTGTGCGCTCATAACGCAACGCCGAGCAGATAAGATTGGCACGCTGGTACATGTCACGTGCAGAAATTGCAAACGCAATTACTCATGATCAAAGTCCTCAGCAAGACCAGCTGGTGGATATCGAAGTTAACGCATCTTGGCGTGACGACAGATCTTTTTGCATCCAGCTGGAGTACAAGCACCAGAACAACCATAATCATTTGCATTCTCTGTCGCTGTACCCCCCAGTTGCTCTCCAGTGCCGTACATAGCTGTCAAGGCCATTAATGTCTCCGTGGCAACCTCTTACGTGTCCCATTCCCTGATCCACCATAGCAAAGCCGTTGGATTTACAACAGCCACTGTCAGCTATCACGCCGTTATCACTTCCATGAGCTCCGTGTCCATACATGCGGGGTTGAGCAGCTTAAGAACTTAGCTCGCTATTTATCATGCAGAGGTTTCTGTTTTCCAACTCAGTAATACTCACGGGTAGCATTAGGACGACAAACCAGACATTTGCCATTTCATTCCATCATCTTTGCAGACAACACTGCTATCAATTCCCATTACTATAGAGTCGAGAGAATAGCTGAAAACAAAGAGGTACTTGGAACTCACCACGTGCAACGGAAACAAGAGCCACGAGCACGACGTGAACAACATGATACGGAGTACGGATCCGAAGAAGGGCATGCGTCCGTTCGTCCTCTTTTCATCATCATCATCAAGTGTGTGGTGTCGCCTTGGTAGCACCTGTTTGGCACTTGATTCTCAGTTTGACCAATTCTATTCGTTTTACCGTATTGTCGTCACTCATAGGAAGAGATTGTTGTCTTGACTCAAGTTATTTTACGTTAGGTCAGGCACACATTAGTAATTCTTTATGACCGAAAGAGGCCAAGATAAAAAGCTTGAGCTTTATTATAGAAAGGGTAAAGAAAGACTTTGTAGCTTTACGGTTGCAATCCTTACATTGGCAGATCTTGCCATTTCAAATAAGTTGAGACTCTGCAATGGATACAATTTTACCAGACTTTATTCTATATATTCTCGTAAGAATGGGAAGGAAGGACTGCAAACAAAAAGGTGTGCTCCTGTATAACAAGTACCTGACGTCTGACTTCCAATGAACTTCATCTTACCATGTTTTGTAGCCATAATTTTCTTGGATTGGTACATTTTCCGCCCCAATACGGTGATTAAGTATTTAAAACGTGCTGGAAATCTTCCATCGTCAATCGAATTCAATTGAAGTTCGTCGCTTCAGATCTCCACTGTCCAACATCATCTTTCTATGAGTCCTCAGTCTTCCGTGACGTCGCACGTCCTCGACTCTTCACTTGGTCGTCCAGCCGTCAACGTGCGCGTAGAGCTGCAAATTTTTCGCCACAACGCGTGGGTCCGAGTGAATGAAGGATTAACCAACGCTGACGGACGCGTTGCTAGACATTTAGTGACTAAGGATTCGATCGTTGAAGTAGGCATCTACCGTTTAGTGTTCTGCACGGCGGAATACTTTACAAGGAATGGCATCACTGATCTTTCTATCCTCAAGTGATTATCACGTTTTTTGTAAAAGATCCAACCCAGCACTATCATGTGCCGTTACTCCTTAACCCCTTTGGGTACTCGACTTATCGAGGAAGCTAGAGGAGATTGACTGTCAAAACCTTGTGATATATGAACCGGATCCATGATGTGAAGAAACGTAAAGGATAAGTATGGTAAATTGCTGGTGATCCCTAGGCTTTTGGTTTATACAGATCTATGCAATCACGTCGATGCAGCGACTGAGACTATTGAGTCAAAAGGAGACATCAAAGCGGTCGCAGCGATCAAGTTGCAGAGATTCAACATGACAACTGCCAGGATAAAGGGAATGTGTCAGCACCAAAAGGCTGGACTTGCTAAGTTAAACAAGAAATAAGATTACGTTGGCCTTGGGATGGTCTTTCTTGTCGGCATGGCACTTAATCAGAAGAGAAGGTTTAACAGCAAAGAATTGAAAAAAAGCGAGCTATATATTGATTGTTCGCATGAGAGCGACGCCAGTACTGCGTCTTCTCTGCTTCAAAACAAATCACAGCATGTGGCAGTCTCACCTGATCGATGATGTCGTCTTCATAATAGTCGCTCTCTGGGATGCGCCGAGGTCGTGTAAGCCCAGGTATACTGTTGCTTCGCAAAAACTCAATCCGAGTCCGAAGCCACACCGCTGGTAGACAGTTCAAACTGGGAATAGTGAATACGACAGGGACGACTGCATTTTTACTCCCTTAGCTACTACTATCGCGTCAAGTGCAAGTACTTGGCTTATGCTGATCGGACAGCGTCAGTTAGTGGTGCAGTAGGCAGCATTTTTTCCTCGGCGTGACCGTACTACCGAAAAAATTGGTAAACAGAAGCACGTGGTGCAGGTCACAGATTGAGATCCACTGTGGTTCTATGTTGCAAGCAAAAGTAGCCAACACGCTAAACTGCTGCCTCACAATGCTCGTTTCTATGTCAATCTTGCTGACAGCTTTGCCACCGAGATATGCACGTAGATGCAATGTGGTTGCCAATCAATGTCGTATCCTGAAAGTTCTCTTTTCTCTCGGTCTTCTTCTGTTTTGATTATCTCGACAACGTCCATGGCTCTCATACGGGACAACCAACTTTGGGTCATCAATTTCAAGAACCCCGCCCTCCAGTTCTGCATGATACAGTACCGCTCTATTACAGCCAAGCTTTTCGCATCTAAATTATGACCGCCCTTGCCTCATCGGTCGATGGCAGCAGGTGTTAAGTTTTTGGAGCTTCTCCGCTTGTTAGTATCCGTTAGAACACTGGTCCACACATGTGTGCATTGTACTCGCGGTGCTGCTTTCACGTTCAGAAAATCCATGTCACGATGAAAATTTTGCTGATCACGACATTTATTGGCGCAGAGGAGACCGTCTTGCGCATTTATGCTCCAGGCGATTTCAGGGTCTTTGCTTTGGTTGTTACGATTATAGGTCATTCAAAAGGTTCAATACCAGTCGACTGTTGTTTCGAACTCATCGGCGCACACATGACCCCGTACATCAAGCAGCCTTGTTCAAGCGATCAATTCGTGCAGAGCGCGAGTGCGAGCACGAAGAAGACAGAGCAGTGTTTCAAAGACGTTGATGTTGCATTCCTCTTGGAGCCATTCAAAAGACCATGTTTGTAGCAACTCGATATGCAAGAACGACAACAAGCAACCGCATACCTTCTTCACGTGTGTCTCCAAGAAACCTTGCACTGGTTGGTAGTAAACTGTAGCAGCTTGTAAATATCATTATAACTTTACCAAAGTACGCACACCAGCAATCTCCCTCCTCACTCTTATTTCGCACGCTCAACTCATCGCTCGTATCCCATGTCACGTTGATACAAGGCTCTGTCACGAGCTGTTGGGCGATCGGCCAGCCAATTACCGCTACTAGTCCGCCTCGTAAACTTTTTCTTCTTCCGAATGTCGTTTGTCTCAAAGATGGCCTCTAGATTGCAAGTATCGACAAAGTCCTGAAATATGGCAGGCGATGGGTCAATGGCGTTCTTGCCAAACTGCGCGTGTAAAATTTTGTTGAGGTGATCCTTCTGGGCCCATTTCGGCACTTTCTTTTTTCCATGACGCTTCGCATCCGAGTCGCCGCTGTCACCGTCAGAAGACTCTGCATTGTCCGACATCTCATAATTCATGATCTCGGGTGAATGACTTTTTTGAGCAAATTTTGCAGAAGCAGGAGATGCTATCGGAGGTCTCGAAGCAGGCTTTATCGTGACCGCTGATGCTTGCTTCAATGGTGGAGGCGAATTGGATGCAGCCATTTGTTTCGGCTTAGAAACGAGTTGCTGTAGTGGCTTCGATATTGGCTTCACAATAGTAGACTGGGACACCCCAGATGTAGTTGCAAGGCCGCGATGCTTATGGTGCGATGTCACTGTACCAGACGTCGTGTATTTTGACGACAAAGCCGCACTAGATGCATAAATGGCTTTCTTTTCAGCTGCTAGCATCGCTCGCTTCTTCTCTAGCCCTGCACGCATCTCCTTCAGCTTTTGTTGACGTTGCCTCGCTAGCTCAGCCTCACGCTTTTTCCGCACATTTAACCTCTCTTGCTCTCGCTTCGCCAGCGCGTCCTTTTCAGCCTTCTCTTTCAGCGCCGCCAACTTCTTATGCTCTTCCATTCTCTTTTTCAGTATTGCTTTACGCCCCTCCTTCTCAAGCCTTCTCTTTTCCTCGAGTACACGAGATTTCTCAGCAAGCTTCAGAGCATTTATCACAGGTGCACTGCGAACACTATTTGCTTCTTTAGCATTCTTCTTTTCCAACAACGTTGTAAAAGAGTGTAGCCCACTAACCAGATTCGAGAGAGGCCGATGATTGCCAGTATTCAAAGCGTTGCATTTTTTCAACGCATTCTCCACCATTGATTGCTCGGGGATCGATGAGACCGTCGAGGATAATGAGTCCAACATACTACGGTTTGACAAAGGCTCGATAGAATGCATCTCCAACACGTCCGACTTGGTCGCGTCTGTGTGCGATGTCGTGGACGATACCAAGGACTGCCGTTGCAGTTGGTGTATTTCAATATCCAGTCGGGTGGAATGGGTCTCGGATGATTCTGGTGGTATACTGTCGGTAGCTGGCCTAGAAATAGATCCAGCTTCCGTTGCTGGCTTATCTACCAGACGATGAGACATCAAGCGCTCAACTTCACTCTTATCTTCACGTGCAGAACATAAAGCTCGAGGAGCTTGTAGATCATGCAGTGAGCTGTCAACTTCTGACAACACGTCTAATACGGTTGACGCTTCTTTTTCACAGGCCACCGATTGCACTAATGCATGATCCTCCGCTTCTCCACCGGTCGTGTTAACGATCCTGGATTCGCCCTTTGACTTTGAAGCAATCAGGTGATCCGCATCTGGAGGTGCAGAAAGGCTTCCGGTAGCAATCGACGACTCGGGAAAGGGGGCTGATACCTGATCAGAAGTTGACTTATCGTTGAATGACAAAGGCGTGTGAGCACTTCTCCTTTTGTCACCAGCAGACGAGGCCCGCAGCCTCGCCTTCAGCTGGTCACCTTTTGCCCACAGCACCTTGCTTGCTTTAGCTTCTTCTAGCCTCTTCTTGACGGACAGCTTTGCAGCAAGTCTAAGCTTCTCAGCTTCGCGCTTGACTGTTTCGTCAAACTCTCGCTTTTTGCGCTGCTCCTCGGTCTCTTCTACGAAGATTGTCTGGGTAGGATCATGAGGTGACATTGAAGTCGAAGAAGAAGCGACACATATGCTAACGGTACCCAGCTTCGCTTGCTCTTCCATAGACAAGCAAGACTCAGTACACTTTTTCTTATCAGAAAAAGTGTGTAGTTCAGCTGGCGAAGAAGAAATCTCTGGACTGGGATCGGGCTGCTTAGATTCAGTCTCACAGCTATCTGCCTTGTTCATAGGAGCAAAGCTGACATTCCGAACTCGTCCATGCGTGCTAGGTGCCAATGATAAAGCTTTCCGCAGAATAGATTTTCGCTTCCACACTAATGGACTCGTCAGGTTGCTTTCTCCGTCAATCTGCATCGATTTTCGCGTCATCTTTGATACGTCGTGGGCTTCGATCAACTCCTTGGCACCACCAGTGGAAGCAACTGGATCCAAACCATCCACAGAATTATTGACAGACGGCGCACTATTCAATTTAGAAAGAATCCGTTGTTCATCCGACGGGTCGGCTTCTAAAACGACTTCTGCTCTACTTGGCGGATCCACTATCCGTAACACGCAATTTGCACTTAGCGCTTCCTCGCTCTTTGCTTTTGCAAAAGAACGGTATTGTTCGTCTTCAATCAAAGCAACCGGAACTACTGTCTCTTTCGTGTCCTCAGTCACCGATTTTGGCGGCGTCAACTGACTTGTCACGACGCTGCGTGACGACTTGTTTGATCCAACGCTCTCTCTTACGATTTCGTCTCCATCGCTATCGCCATTTATCACAACGACCGCCCTGTCCTGTGCTTCCTCTGCTACCACCTTTACCTTGTGCAAGTGTGGATTGTCCTCGTTTTGCTCTACCTCTAGCGCGTCAAGCAGTCGATCAAACAGCACTGCCTTCAGACCACTGGTTCTCAGTCCTCTTTTCTTTAGCTCAAGCCGTAAATCTACTACTTTAAGTTTACTTGGGTCTCGTAGCAGCACTTGAGATGGCCGACCTCTCTTTCTCGTCCGTTTGGTGCCAGTGTCGGATACAATATCGACACTCACCGCCCTCGCACGTTGACGTATTGATCTTTTCGGTTTTCTTTTCTCTTCATTCTGCTTGATACAATCAGACGCTGCGTCTTCTTTTTCTTCTTGTGTCGCAATCCTTTGCTTTTTCCAAGTAAGTCCAGCACTGTCAAAACTGCCTTCCTGCTCTCTACAGAGTGTCATAAATCAGCAAAACATTGCATACATGATACTATAAGACATTGATATCCAATACATGTCTTACGACGACCTCAATAGACTCATTTACCTTGGAAATGACGTCGGAGCGACTCGTCCCGATTGCTCAAATTGTGCCTTGATCTCCAGCGAATGAGAAATTTGCACCAGTTCATCTCGCAGCCATTTTATATTTCTCACATGTCTATCTTCTAATAATGACCAATTATCCCGTGCAAGGCTCTCTAGTCGGCTCCGAACGCGCAGTACAGTGTCGCTCATGCTTTAGGTATCTGATAGCCTTTCCTAATGTATTACTATTCGCGGGTTTTGATATTCTAAACCATAAAACTTAAGACTGTTCTTACAGTTGCTCAAACTACTTATGTTGCGCATAACTTAAACCTTGCATTTTGGGTGAAGTAACACTTAGTCAGGACATTGAAAACTTGCTATTGACACTAATTGCTCATGCGACACTGCGTGTCCTACGTTGCTCCACCTTTGCGCCAGGTCCTGTTGGCGATAATACCTTCGTGTCCTTCGCTACTGTCTATTTACTAATAATAGTGTCGATACTGGTGCTTGAGTGTGACCCTCGCCCATAGCCGCTGGCGTTTGTGTCGCTTCGGAACGTCAGCAATGTATGTAGTCGCATCGGCAACGTGTTTAGCAGCTTCCTAGCTCTAAATGACGCTACAGAATATAACACGCACTCTTTTTTGGCTTGGGCACTTTCTTCCGACGCACTTCACGCACAAATGTCTCGAATACTGCAGTCACGTTTGCTCCTGTTAACGCACTCGTTTCTATATAGCGCGCATTGTACGAGTGTGCTATTCGTCGGCCTTCCTCCGTACTCACTTGGCATTTGCTAGGGTCGCGATCCACCACATCCTTCTTGTTGGCCACGAGGATAATAGGCGGAAGTGGACGACGGCTCTCGTTAATCTGGAGATGCAGATCAAAGAAAGGTTGCAATTCCTGTAAACACCAAAAAACATGTCAACTCGTACTGCCATGATTACCAAACAATTACGATACAGGATACACACATGAAGAGAAATCCGCGAGTCCATACTATATACAAAAACATAGCCATCCTTGTCCATCATCCACTGTCCTCTCAGTGATTCAAAGTCCTAAATCACCAAACAGCAAAATCCAATCAGCCAAGGATCGCGTCATTCAACATTCAATATTTCGTCAACGAACGTACATCCTGTCCTGCAGTGTCCAGAATCTCTAGCATGCACAATCCGTCATCCACCGTAATTGCTTTTCGATAAGCATCTTCAATCGTCGGGTCCCAATCTTTTGCAAAGTAATCTCTTACAAAGCGCAATGTTAGTGCACTTTTGCCGACGCCACCCGACCCTAGAACAGACATGTGGAAAGTCTGCTGACCGCACGCAGGGCCTATAATAATAACAATGACGCATCATTCAGCAGCCTTTCCCGTGTCTATAAACATGACAGTTCTTGCAAATATGTACCTAAAGACTTGTAAAAGGCCTCACCCTGCGAGACGTACAACGTGTCATTGTTTTGTAGCTCGTTCACATCCGAGATCTCAGCACCGCTCGCGAGAAATAATCGTTTCGCACGTATACCTAATTTCTTGCTTGCTCCTTTCTTTAATCGTGCAATATTATCTTTTGACTTGATATTCATCACCTGCATCAAATAAAAGCACATGATAGAAAACATAATGCCAAATGAGTCCATCGCCTTCTTCTTCTTCTTCTGACACAACAAAATAACTCTATAAAAATCGATGAATTCTCCCACACCTTGCCCTCCGATCCCGCCTCATTACGATAGATAAACAACCTCATGTCACTCATGATGTTTCTTGTTTAGTAAACCCTGTAGCAATTCCACCCAGCTATGTAGTAGTTGCTGGGAAAAAGTACCTAGGTTCTAGCCTTATTCGACTACACGAAATACACTCGTTCCCCTGCCGCAGCTATGCAGGGTCTAGAATTGTAAATATATACTTCTTTAGCTGGTTTATGGTATGAATTTGCAGCAGATGGCGGATGTAGATAGCGTGTTATTACCAATATGACCTAATAATTACCATATTCCGCCTTTTTGTAACCTAAGAACATAGACTTAACGATATATTGTCTTTACCCATCGGCTGCTCGACCGACAAGTACAAAGAGGAAGTAGTAAAGATGGAGGCTTATATTTGGGGTATAACGAGCTTCAGTTTATTGATTTTGGTTGCTTACGACGTACTAGTGTAGCTGTTATTAGTTTTAGTAATAGTAATCGTTGCAAGGCCCATGCGTAGAACATCAACTTCTTACCCACTATCCACTTCGTAGTCAGTCTCAGATGGAGGAAAACAACAATACGAATCCGATTGAAACACAAAGTGATAGTCGTGTCTCTCTATCAGTTTTATATCCTAAAACTGACTCTTATTTTGTACTCGATTGGATTCAATCCCACGCCCCTAAAATTACACACCGTCACTTTGTGCTTTTATTTCTTATTACCAGCCCTTTATATGATGTTATTCAAATAACATTTTGCTGTGACAGACTTTTCTTTTTTTTGCTGCAACTTAACCTGCCAAACGCTGGCTTTTCGCACGACAGATTGACGCAACCTTTTCAGTACACGACTGGTCCCTTTCTTGTGACTCTACCGCATTCATTATCTTCCTATACGTTTCTTCATAGTATGCGGTCTATCGACAATGTAAACGTACAAACAAAGGAGATGATGAGATACGTAAGAACTAATAGTGAAGTAGGAGCATATGAAGAGAGTGTATCACCGTCAAAGTCTCTTTCTGCTAAGCGACGTTTACGTTCGAAGGAACACCAAGAGATTGGTGCGCCTACTGTGTGGATTACTCCTGATTGGGCTACGCATCCTGTGATTGAAAGTTTCTATGGCCATACACGACGTCCACGTGTGAGTTCATTTGATGAAGTTATGTCTTCACCTACGAATGCTTTAGCCACAACGACATTGAGTGAGAGCTGCTGTGGTTACGGTAAAGAGACGAATGATCATGTAGATGAGGATCGATTACATGCAAGAAATAACACTTGGACACGCCGTCCTTTTGGCTCTTTTGCCTATTCCTGTACGACCGATACAAGCGAAGAAGCAAGTGGAATTGGTTTGGGTACTGAGAGCCCCATGTATGATCGTCAAGCTACAATGGGGCTGCGCACTAATAGCAATAGCAGCTTAAGCAGCGGCTTTGGTTTTACTCAATGGAACAAAATGAGACGTACCATGAGTTTTAATGGCGGACTCGTACCAGTACCTCCTGACTCTCATTTTACAGGTGACAGATGTGTACTGCTGGAAAAATGGCAAAGTGGTAGAGATTTACGTACAGATATAAGTCTTGCAGCATCGTCATTGGAGCTAGATAGCGTTAATCGTCCTCAGTCGCCTTTGACTTCTAGTCGACTACGAGCTAAACTACAGGAGAGTTTGCGAGACACGGATGATCGCATTGCGGAGGAGCACAAACGTCTATGCCACGCACAGCGGATCGGTAGGAAGTCAGCCGCAAACCAGCCCGTAGCTCCTGTCAATGTCCTATGGAGTTTATTGTGTGGGGCGCGAACGACCGAAACGGCACATGTTGATGGCGTAACATACTTGTCCGAGAAGCTAGGAATAGCTGTATCACATCGTGCATTAAACCAATTACAGCGGCACCGCCGCCATGTGCATGGTATATTGAAAATTGTGACGGCACATAATCCAGACTTGGAGCTTACGGAACGACAGCTTGACTCGTTTGAGGCAGCAAGTGCTATGTTGGCCAATGACATCAAGTACGTTGTACTCTGCCAGCAGTACAAATTATTGCTTACAAGTGCAACACAACGACGACGCGCGCTAGTCATGGCGAAGCTGCACAACGGCAGTAATTGCTTTGAAAAGCCTCAAGTGAAGAGTGATATGCTGTCGCAGCTGCTTAAGGCTGTAAGCTGGTATCGCTTGGTGCAACGGAACGCTAGGAAAGAGTCTGCGTCAAGCTCTGTGGGTGTAGCATCTGCTCCAGGATCGGCCATTGCGAGCCCTCCTTCCAGTTCAGGCTCGACTGGTGGTCTACAGGAGCTGCAAGTGGAAAAGATTTTGAATGTTTTGGCAGGCGAAGACTTTTATTCCGATTTTTACGAATCGATGTGTCAGCCGGACTGGTGGGAGATTGCACAGGCTCACTTTGAAAACCTTATTTTTTCGTCAAGAAAATCGCGTATTTGTCAGTGGGTGCTGCAACTCTCCAAAGACGTTGCTGCTGTGAGTTACGAAGAGCTAGACAAAACTGAAAGTGGCGGTTTATTTCTTCGACCGGAATCGCTGGCAGGAGATAGCGTGCATTGCAAGCAGCATCACATTAAACATCAAGCTTCTTGGGCGAGGGATCCGCTGCCTGAACAGATAATTGATTTTCTGGATCGACTGTCTAGTCGTGTTCGACGAGAGTTTGATGTACCCGTAGAAGTTAGCAAAAGCCTGAATGTCTTTATCCAACGCACGGTGTTTCCTCGTATTGCTGTGCTCTGCTTTAATCAGAGAGCGACCCGTGACTGCCAGCGGAAGGACAAGCTTTGGCGGAAGAAGTGTGTTGAGCTGAGCGGTTTACCCATGGAGAATTTGGGTGTTTCGCCTGATCTCGTTGCCAAAATTCGCTCCAATTTACCCAGCCACCGTGTCCGCGGTCCAAGTAGTAGTAATAGTCAATGTCATCGGCGAGCGTTTTTCGTTCGTGCGATCGAAGCATTCAACGGCATGGTGAGTGTGGTGCCGTGTGACCTGCTAGACGAGCTCATGCACGGCGTAGTTATTCTACACCACGAAGCTGCACTTGTGCTGGGCACGACTCAGTTCTCAGTGGAAACATTTTTCCCGTTATTGGCTTACGTTCTAGTGCATTGCCAGCTACCGACAGTCCACGCGCAGCTGCATCTTCTGGAGAATTTCGCCATCACTGCTCACAATGCGAATGGTGAAGAGTCCTACTACGTCTACTGCGTTCATGCTGCCGTGGAATACATCTGCAACACTGCTGGGTTGGGAACTAGTGCCAATTCTGCTGGTTCATGCGCAGTGAGTACAAGTTCCAGTGCAGTCTCGACACCAGAAGGGGCTGGTTTGACATCTGTCATGCCGATGAACAATTCGTCGCCACCTGACAGCCAGACTTCTATCTCGTCTGACCTCGAGTTGGAAACTCGAGTGAAAGTGAAAGCTTTTAGTCCCATAAGCAATAGCAGTGTGAAGCAGTCAGAGGCAGCCTAATGCTGTCGTCAGTTGAAATACGCGAGTTTGACGCGCCAACATCTTTTTTTATTTATGTGAGCAAAGCCCAAGAAGGTATCCGCAGCCGGTATAATAGCTCCCCATCTCTTTGAATCTAAATAACCATGTCGCTTTCGGCCATTATAAAATGTTTTACGTTCACTGTGCGTGTTATCCGGTTTGGTCTAGTGCGGCTTGGGTACGTGACCATCGACGTAAAAGTTGCGTGTAGCCTGAGGTAATGTCACTGTCGTTCCCTCGAAGCTCTCGTCTACGATCACCTGGCAACCTAACCTAGATGTGTCTGTAAGTCCAAAGGCCATATCCAGCATATCTTCCTCATCCTCGCAAGGTTCGTCCAGCTCTTCAAACACAGAGTCTTCCAGAATCACGTGGCATGTGGAGCAAGCCATGGATGATTCACACGCACCCTCTAGGTCAATCTCGTTGGCATGGGCTACCTCCAACAGCGACATTCCTGTCTTCGCTTCCACTTGTTTTATCGAATTGTCACGCAGCTTGAACTGGATATGCACACTATAATGACAGACCAACACTTAGTGTATCATTCGTTTGAGTTTAAATGCATTGTAAAACTCCGTGTGTTACGTCGGATTAGATGCAAACTTTGACATGTCACCGTGGAATAGAAACGTTGATGCATGAAAGAAACGTGAAGAGTCTGTGACTACTGCACGCGCTGACAAAAGACGTCGACCGAAGAGAACACGAAGCATTACTACAGGCGCTTATTTGCGTATAAAGTCGAGAATGTTGGTAACATTTGATTCGCATAAGACGCCAGAACACAGTGTTGTATTAGCACATATTTTCAGCAAATCCTTATCATTCATGATACTTTTTAAGCATTGTGATAGGATGAAAGAAATATCGAGCTGCTGCGTTAGTTACAATGTGATTCTATTGGCTATTATTGTGCCTAAGTGATCGAGAACTGCTGTTTATGACAAGGATTTTAGGGATAGTACTAACATTGGCTGCAAATGACCTGGTAATTATTATTGATAAGTCACTCTATCGACATGCATTGTATAAATTGATTAATGTATTAGGCATTCAGCAGTGCGTGTTAAATCACTGTTCTGTCTTTGATGACGCACGTAAACAATGAAACGTATCGTAAGTTTTACAGATGATTGCTGTTATGTTGCAATGCACTCTGTAATGTGAAGATTGAACGGTGTTTTGATAACAGTACCTTCTATTTACCGTCTGACATAGTGTGGATGCATTGCCTCAATCAGAATGTAACACATGTGGACTGTACGACCACTCGACGCACTCATGAATCAAAAAGTACTTTTGTTACAAATTGGACAGTGTACAGAATGCAAAGTGACCGCAGAATGCTTTGCGACGGCACGAGAAGAATGTCCTGCTAATGCACGTCTGGTGACAAAATGCACCTGTAATGGTGCAAGTTTACGAATGCCTCCCATTTGAAATGTTTGAACTCGGGAGCGTTGCCAGACACTTGGCTGATTCTTTCCGAGTTTTAACGAGGCAGCTACACCTCATCCGTTTACAGTTGCAGCAGCTTTAACTGCAGACTACTGAATACTAGATCCATGCTGGGCCATTTGGGACATCGTGAGCCTGTCGAACTACAGCGCGCTCGATAGAGCAGCTCACAAGCTCCATCCTTCAGTTTCCTTATCCGATACATGACTCAAAGTCTCTTGTGATGCTTGCATCTGGACCAATGTTTAGCGAGTCTTGCATCCGTTTTGTTAACAGTGCTTGCAAAATTATTATTTTTTTCTCTGCTCTTTAGGTGTGCTTTCCACACTTACGTACGAAAGCTTTGTAATGTGGCATTTATTAATCAATGCAAAAGACTGCCAAGGTTGAGCTGAAGGTCTTCTTCTCTCTCCAACTTTTTCCTTCGTAAATCCTCAAATTTTTAACCTTTAAACGTTTTGCACTGATCTCACTCAGCCAGGCAACACCACACACTTGATGGTAATAATGAAAACAAACGAATTGATGTCCGCCATCTAGTGTAAACTTGCGATCTTGTAGTTCACGTCCGGTTCCCGTTCGCGAGTACTTATTGTATCGTTAATTATCGTATCATCAGAACCGTCCCAAACCTTCAGACTGGTTACAAGGTTTGAAGATATTAAATTTACTTTACCTAATCATACACATCACCAAACACTGCGCTAGCTAGTCACGATAACGACAGCAGATTCAGATTTTTTGCTGACTGAACAATACAAACTGAAAAGATATGAGTGATCCTCTGGAGATCATTTGAGCCACCTGGAATGATTTTGCGGCGAAATGAACCGAGACGGCGAACAAACGCATGACATTGCAATGCGCTCGGTATCTGCACTCACACATGCAGCTGGATCGCGCACAGAACGTGCTCCAGGTCGCAGCTGGAGCTGGTCTAGGATCGCTCGACATTGCTCAATACTTACTTGACGGTCGATCCAAACTGCCTTGAGAGTCCAAGCGGACGTTTACGGTGACGGACCTGTCGCCAGTATAATCAAGATGGCCGACAAGAACTTAAGCGGTATGAGTTCTGATACCGTTGAGATCACATGCAAAGAAGCGAACGGTAAGTGACCCTAGCAAGCTGCCAATTTTCGGGTCTTTATAGCCCAGACGCTAACGGTTGACATGGTGGGAGGAGTGCAGGTCAAGATCTGACGGATGTCAGTACCGGTTCCATGGACCGCTACGTTGCCAGTCTCTACCTGCAACTCACACCGGACCCTGATGCGTTGCTTCATGAAGCTAGCCGTGTGTTGACAGCCGACAGAATTGCAGGGCTTACCATTTGGGGATCCCCCGACCGCAGCGGTAACTTTGTCATTCGCACAGCTGCAAACAAAGAACTCGGTTTCGCTGAAAATGCGACGGAGCATTTGAATTTTGTTATGGGCAAGAATCTCCCAGCATTGCGCCAACGTTGGATTCAGACACGTACAAATTTGGCCGTTTCAGTGTGTGGTAGAGCTTTGGAGTGGCGAGGAGTTTGCTAAGTTCCAAGACGAAATGCTATCTTTAGAAGACAAAAAGCTGCAGGCCAAGCGTTTCGCAATTATCAAACGCATGGCTGATGAGTGGCTTGCAAAGGGAGTTCCAATCGGTTTGGAGACCTACATCATCCTTGTCGGAAAGTAAATAAGATCGCGGACTCGATGTCGTATTTTGAGGTGTCTGCAAGTCTACCGTTGAGTTTGTAGCTCATGCTCCTAATGTCTTGCTGGGTATTGCAATAGGCAGCAAAGCCTGGGAGATGCTGCAGGTCCATTTATCTGGATGGCCTAAGTGCTTTTACGACAGCAAGTAACATTTATACCTAGCGGATTAGGAAAGGACTCTTTTTACTCCCGCCGGATTGTTGAAATGTGTTTGTCATCATGTGTTGAATCTCGATACACTTAACAAGTCTGGACGATATCTGTCGGCAAGGCGTTATTGGAGTGGTCAGACCAATGCCGAGTCTGTGATACGACGCGCTCCATGCATGGCACGGTGGCATCAACTCTATTGTGTAAACTGCTCATTGTTGAAACGTTTGTGGCTCGCAGGCTGCAATGCAGTGTTCGCCTATGTTTCTGGAATGCTCTTTTCTGGCATCATTGCGATTAGTTGCAACGGATGTAATATGATTTTCTCAAGGACATGCTCGTTCGAATTCAACAGAGATGGTGTATTGTATTCCAGTGAAACGCAAGAGCTCACCAAAATTTCTATCTCTGAAAATACCATTAGAATCGGAGATTGATTGCAACAATTAAACACTCGAATCGCACGTACGACAGAATGATACGTGAGTAAGCGTGTGATCACGGTATCGAATCAGGCTTCGGTAATGCCACACATGTTACAGAAAATTGTAGTTACAGGCATGTTAAATCGTGTTCTTTGTGCGCGTATGTAGAGATGGTAATTAGTTGTAATCAACTAACGTTTGATTTTCAATACTTTACATCACATTATTGCATGATTCCAAACAGCATTATGATACGAATTGCACAACCAACCAAACAAGCACGACTACAACTCTATATCTGCATGTGCTATGCTTTCGCCACGGATCTGAGAAGCCTCTAGAATTTGAAACGTTCTTCCAGTGCATCTTCGATCGCGATTAATTCGTTTAAACTTTGCGGTGGTTACATTCTGTCGGGTTTCCCTTCCATTTAGCTAGCCATTTGAAGCGCATTTACTACTTGCAAACATGCTTTTGACAAATATTTTAGAAGCAGCTCGATGTTAAGCCTCAGATTCGATCTAGGAGTACAGCATGAAGGCTACAATTTTGACGACGAGAGGAATGATGAAGACTTCAGTGAATATTCGCCAAATCCAGGACTAATTAGACAGTATCTTTGATGATTGCTGCGAAAACCGTGCTCTTTCAACAATCCAAAAACAGCTTCCATACTGAAAGCAAGTTGAAAAGTTCGGGTGACCCCAAACGAAAGTCCGGTTTTTGGCTAAATTCATTCAACAAGTAGTATTCGCATGCCATGAGACACTAATGCATCGCTCGATTTGAATGCTCGACGCTTCGTTTCCTGGCCTCATATTCCCAACTGCCAATTCAATTTGCGGCTGAGATAGGGTTCATGACGGCAAGCACGGACCAGCAAGGAGCTTCATAGTCGGCAAGAACCTGGATTGATTGACGGACGATATTGTTGGTTGTTGCCGATGAAGCGGTATCAAAACAAACAGCTGACCAATTCAGTTTTCAATTTACCACCTCATACTTCATTGTTGACAGTCAACGATGCAATTCATCACAACCTCTCCACTCATGAAGCGATTAACCATCACCCCAATGCATCGCCGCCAAGCAATGGGTCTGTTCACGCGCAAATGGCTTAACACACGCTATGCATCGTTCAGCACGAACCAGTTTGCCTCAAGTGCTGCCGCCTTAGCTCAAGAAGGAAAGACTGTCACGGCACCACAAGTCAAAATGACCAGTAAATTAGAACCAACAGATGCTACGAATGAACCCGCATACATCACGCACTTTAAACAGTCTGGACGCTACGCTACGAGCGAAAACGGCGAGCCAATCTGGGATCACCCTGTCAACCACGCCGTCTACGACCTCGAAAAAATCAATGTAATGGAGCAGACACACCACCCTGTCACGAGGATGTACGAGCGCGTCGCTTTTGTGGCGGTCAAGGCACTCCGTACGAGTTTCGACGTCATGTCGGGCTACCGTGGACCAGGAGGCGCCATGACAGAGAAGGACTGGCTCAACCGTTGTCTTTTTCTCGAGTCCGTGGCCGGTGTGCCTGGTATGGTAGGCGGCATGTTGCGTCACCTCCGTTCGCTGCGCCTGCTCAAGCGTGATTACGGCTGGATCCACACACTGCTTGAAGAGGCCGAGAACGAACGCATGCACCTGCTGATCTTTATGAACCTTAAGCAGCCGGGCTACCTCTTCCGTGCGCTCGTTGTTGGTGCACAAGGCATCTTCTTCAACGCCTTCTTCCTCACGTATCTGGTGTCGCCTAAGACTTGCCATCGCTTCGTAGGGTATTTGGAGGAGGAGGCTGTCAAGACGTACACGCACCTGCTCAAAGACATTGAGGATGGCCACCTGCCCGCTTGGAAGCAGAAGAAGGCGCCGCTCATTGCGCAGACATACTACAAGCTGCATGAGGACGCGTCTGTGTACGACATGATCAAGTGCGTGCGCGCGGACGAGTGCAATCACCGCGACGTTAACCACACGTTCGCAAACCTAGACCAGAAAAAGGGCGTGAGTCCGTTTGTGAATAATCACCCCTAAGCTAACAAGCTGTTCTGGATACTAAAGTGAGCAAAAAGCTTGGGCCTCAAACAAGTCGTTCGTTTACTTGTTGGATCGAATGGTCCGATTCAACGTAGTTTCAACAACCACCTGTGTTATCCCATCATAGCGTTTTTCTTACGATCTCACGTTGTGAACATTTTTTCAGCACTTGTTCAATCTCGTACGTGAAGCGTCTCCTTGCATGTATCACAACAAACCTCGTCACTGACTTAACAGCTTTCTGAACGTTGTCAAAGCTGTCGAGGCTCGAAAAAGCGCACTCAAGTCTCAAGGATTGTTAGCTGTTAATAATGCCGTCTTACATGATCTCCACTTCAACAAACATGAGCTTTTGAAGCCAAGAAACGATTGATGTGGTGACGAAGTCGCGAGACCGATTAGCACGTTACCATTTCAAATATTAAACTATCATAGGCAATATATATATGGCAACCTACCAGCGTGTACCCCGAGTAAGAAACATACACGAGGATCAGGCTCTGTCAAGCTCGTGACCAAGTCAACCCACCACTTTTTGTCTATATATGGTGGTAGTGGAGCAAAGAGAGAGCTACGGGTAGAAACGGATGGGCTTCGTTGACGTGCAACATGTGCTCACCGTCACTGGTGATGAAGTTGAATTGCAGCGTTGACATGGGGCGACATAGACCGAAAAGAGCGTCGAGAGAACTTGAAGGAATTATAGCACAGAATTCTCAAATACGGTGAAGAGAATTGATGTTTTAGAATCTATTTTTTATTATAAGAAATTATATATAAATGTGCAATGGATTTTTTTTAAGAAAACAACATAGAAAGTATAAATTCAGATTTAACTTGAAATTTTTTATTTAATACTACTTTAAAATCTATAGAAGAAGTTGATCTTTCCTTGGCAATTAGGTTTTCAAGACCCAGCAACTCCAGTTATGGAAGGTTTTATAAACTTTCACCATGTATTAATGTTTTTTTCAATTACTGTATTTGTATGTTGGATGTTATTTAGAGCTAATAATTGATTTTAAATTCGTGTTATTTCTGAAAAAAGTGCTCTTTAAGGAACATTGCACTTTAATAATTTTTCAATTGCTAAAACATACACATCATTGAAACATAATCTAATCTATCAAAATATTAAAGCTTGTAATTAATGTTATATTCAATTAACTTTTCAGCTCCTCTGTGGTGTTTTCACAGGATTTGCTTCAATATAATTATCTGGATGACCTAAAGTATTAAAATAATAAGTAAAAAAAAAAAACGCTAAAAATAAAATCATTAATCCAACTAAACCTTTCGTATAAAAATAAGGATAAAATGGTATATTTTCTGTTTTTAATGAAATACCTAATGGATTATTAGAACCAACTTCATGTAATAAAATTATATGTACTTGTACAGCACCTACAATTACAAAAGGGATTGCTTGGGTGCGAGTATGACCAGGACTTCCACAAAACAAGCAAAATCGTTGCAAAAAGCGTCCAAGATCCGAGGATTGGAGACAGGATGTAGACGAGTTGATAGACTGACAAGTAAGTATGCAGTGAGATGCAAAGAGCTGTATATGTTAATTAGCAGCGATAGAGGCAATATGAATTCTGCAAAGCAGACCCTGCAGAATTGTATTCCCCAAAGTGGATAGCTACGTATGAACATCATACAAATTTACAATGATTTAACTTTGGCGAGCGTTGATTCTGAGTTCTTGTCTTGTTTGAGAGCAAAAGTACTCTACGCATATTTGTACCAATCCCTTATACCGAAAGACGTCGTTATTGTTTGGTGCTTTAGTGCTTGCCGGTCTTTTATAAGGGCAACGCTCTTCCTACTTTACACATGACATTCGTTGTTGCGGTTGTCAGATATTCCAAACGTTACGGGGACGTACCAACGAGGGCAGCATCAATGTGCATGCCGTATCTTTTCACGTCATCTTGTGAGAAATAGTGCATTCTACTACCATACACATGACAATTGGCACGTATTAACTCCTATTTCTGGTAGAAAAACGTGAATTTAAGAATGAGCTCTTTCGGTCTGCTATTATATTCAGTGATAAAGGTCCTGTGTAATAATTATATGCGCACTCTACCGTCACCTGAACACTGCATGTGTTTGCTGCTATCCAAATCCGCAAGACGGCAAGGTATCGAGCGTGTTTTTGCAAATCGAAGAGTTCAATGCGAATCAGCATATTCACAGATATCGAGCTAACAGGGACCTTATTGTTCAACCATTCACTTTTGTATATCTCGTGTCCTCTCAAACGAATTTGCCGAGCATATGCTGTAACGGGGTTACACAAAGGTGGTCCGCACTAGGTGGTCTGGATCTGTGACTACTTTTCTGTGAGGATGGACATCGAAGATATGTCCGCAGTTGGCCTATCACAGGCACAACGGGTAGGGCTGCAAAAGCTGCTCTTTATCTTTGGCATAAAGGGCGGGAATACCTCATCGCCCAAGGTGAAAAGACGTTAACAAGCGTATGATTTGCTTGGAAAGTACAACAACGCTCTTGTAGACCACCATATAGATGTAAAATAAAATCTTCAAGATTGTAAAGGCAAAAATGCCTTCATCTGCGCCGTTGCATGTGGCGACTATGGCGCAAGAAGTGGCCCATAGACCAAATATCTTTACATATGGAAGGCGACAGGTTGGATAAAATAAGGTGATAAACTTATGCTGTGGATTCGACAGGTTGAGTCGGCTATGTTTATAGCCGACATCACATTTGAACTATACCGCGTGGGCTGTGCCACGGATAAGTTGGACTACTTCGCCAAACAGTGGTCATTCACATGCGATGCTTCACTGCAAGATGCACCGAGGCAGATCTGACAGTTCAGATGACCCAACATTAAAATAAGTCAATCAAGCGCACCGTAATCGGTCGCGATTTTTGGTGTTTCACCAAGGTAAGCGTGATCTTGTGGCATATGGCAAAAGGTTGAGATTTCTTATTGCCGCCATGGTCATAAACTCTCTGCCTGAGGCAGTGACCGTCACGGTCTTTATGTAAAAGTTCCGAGTTAGCATGGACAGAACCAAAGTCTTCCGACGCTACAGCGTCCTCAGGTGTAGCCGCCTCAAATTAAAGACCACTCTGTTCTCTGACTGCACCCCACTCTCTTGGATCAATGCCTCGTCACTAGATGCTTGCATCTCGTTGTCCACAAAGACAGCATACATTGGTAGCTTCACCCGACCCTTTTAGGCCAGTACCTCGTCGTTGGATGCTTGAAACTCATTGTCGTCAAAAGCAACATCCATTTGTGTCTTCACCCAACCCTCCAGGGTCATTAACTCGTCACCCATGTCACTTGGACTCGTGTCCTGATATTTTGGCTTCTAGCCACCAACACCACTCATGATGTTGAATGATGCAACATCATTGTCATGACAAATGTCATTGTCTCATCTAGTGGATCCTCGACCACACTATTGACAGTCCTTGGACCTCGCCCAGGACTATTATCCTCGACACTTACAGTGCCTACAAAGTCGGTCATCCCGATATCCAACATATTGACCGACTCGATCCAAAATATGCGCCAAAAGCGCTTTTTCTTCACCGTAGAGGTGGGTTCATGACTCTCCAGAGCCCTACCAGGAGAAATGTGCGTTGCGCCTAAGGCTTCGACCTCCAATCAATCCATGTCTCATGGCGTCCTAGCCATGCCATACCTAGAATGAGGTCATGCCTCGCATTCAGGTTAAAGACCAAACAGCGTTCCATGCAAGTCCAAGAAGTTTACATCTTGCCATCGGAACTTTGGTACCGTAACACACGTAACCATCGCTAAGCGAACTGCAACTGTGTCACTTCACGCGCTCCAAGCGCTTCAGCAAACTGCTATCTACCTTCTGCGGCGGTACGTTGAGCATAGTTGTCTGATGCCCCCGAATCGACCAGAATTATCCATGGCTAATCAAAGCTCTAAACCATCTCTTTGACGATCAAAAAGACTGGCTTGCATCTGCGCTCCGTTTTTGAGAGTTTAGGTCTATTTAGAGCTGATCCCTGTTTACTTCTACATCGTAGAGGTTCAACAGAGCTCACTTTTTCCCTAGTAGAGCTCTCCGCGCAGATATAATATCTGCGCACGCTTTGCTGCTCCTCCTTTTGAAGCTCAGCTTCTTCTTCCACTTGACTTTATTACATGGAAACCGACTCATTAGACGAATAGTTGTAAGCGGCAGGCCTAGCGTCTTTCAAGCTGGTTTCGGCATTTCATGCCACTCCAGCAGCTTCCTTGAATGAGGACGGGTTTGCTCAAAGTGTATACCAGAGACTACAGCCATAGGAAAATCTGTGTTGGCTAAAAACACGATCCTTGAACAGCTTTGCTGTTTCTTCTCCATTAATGGAGTCCGAAACTGCCGCTTAATGAGCCATCTTGCTCAGTCGGTCAGCGAAAAACACAAATTTAGTGAAGCCTGCCGCATCACGCGGTAGGACAAACACAAAGTCCATACTAATGGACTGCCACAACCCCGAGGGTACAGGTAAAATATCCAAAGGCGTGGCCATTCTAGGCAAGGGCTTCACCCCTTGACACATTTTGAACGTTCATACATATGTACCAACCCATTTATACAGCTTGGACCACCAATAATGGGTGCTTACAGAGATGTAGGTCTTTTCACAACCTAATGACCAATCATGAGCCTCATACAGTATCTGATACTTAAGGTCCTCATCATGATGCAACAGAACACGTGGCTGGTCATCGACCCTGTACTATAGTACAACAGACCATCGGTCAGTGTATAGCGATGTAATCGCGCGCGACTACGTGGTGACAACTTCACCTTAGAGTTCTCAAACTCTGTGCTACCTAGCGCCTGGAATGGTATGTTAACACATGCTTTGTCGTGTGCATACGCCACACGGATACGATCCGTTACTGAGTCAACCACAACAGTGATATGAGCAAGCTCATCGTCAGGTCTGCGCGATAACGCGTCAGCCAGAACATTCTGTTTACCGGCTTATACTTCACCTCGAAGTTACGCTCAGCAAAAAGGAGAGCCAACGAGCCATTCTCTGCGAGAGATGAGGCGACTGTGTGCTGTGTGTAACGACGCATGATCTGTATAGATCACAAGAGGCTTTGAAACCAACATGTGTACCTTGAACTTAACAAGGGCATACTTCATAGCAAGTAGCTCCTTATCATGAACTGGATAGTTTTTCTCTGCAGCTTTCAGCTGGCGAGTCTCAAACGCAATGACGCATTCTCGACCCTCAGAGTCAACTTGCAAAATTGCACTGCCAATGGCAAAGTTTGAAGCGTCACAACGCGACGCTAAAGGGGCGATTAGGATCAGGCAGGGAGACTCTACTTGATGGCTTCAAAAGCCTCGGGGCCGTTCCAACACCATTCCCACATCCTTTTTAAGGAGATTTGATGATAGCCTAGCCACTTCCACATATATATGGATATACTTGTGCAAGTGGCTCTCCAAACCCAACCATTTTGGTTCCGCGAAACCGGCCACTATGCCTTTGACCTTGACAGGGTTCGCCCGGAGTCCTCACTTCTCAATGAAGTATCCCAAAAAAGGGAATCGCTTCCGCACCGAAGATGTATTTGTCAATCATTTCATATAACTTATGCATCCTCATGCAACCGAGCATAGCTCGCAGGTGCTCGATGTGACTTTCCAAATCAGTCTCGCCATTTTCGGCTCGACTATGGACAATATATCGTCAAAGTATGTCTGTGCATACGCCCTATGGCCGATACAACTCGTCACTAGACGATCGAACTTTGCAGGTGCGTTATACAGCCCTTGTTACATTACTAACTGCTCTTAGAGCATACCGCTTGGAGCGCTGTGCGCTCTATGTGGGCTTCCTGAAGCCATACCTTAACCGAGCCTCGGTGGACTTCGAGGGGTTGTTCCCATACCACCGGTTGAAGGAAGCGGATACAACGGCACCGGGGGCTTACATGGACACTGAAGGCGCTCCAGGAGGTCAATTTGACACCGAATAACTGAATTCAATGATTAGATGCCTTTATCTGTCGACAAGCAGCCCTCTAGAATAGTGACGATAAAGGACATCGGCAAGGCCAGATATTTTAATTGCACATTAAGTTTTGGCGATTTAATCATGAAAGAAATTCCGAAGCTTGTATTGCGAGATACAGAATATGTCTGTGGACATCTTAGCGAAGAAACTGGCTACGCAGAGGCTGGGAGAATTGCACCAAGCGATCAGTTTGAACACTAGCTGAATGTCGACAATAATGAAAGCCAGGATCAAGTGATTCGTCAGTCGACAAGTGGAGTGTAGGGTAAGCTTTGAGATGGTGAACCACAGATACGGCTCATTTTTGTTTCAGCATCTCAAAGCTTTTGTGTTTGCGTCGAGCAGCTGTGGCAGTTTCACTTCGTATCATTCATCCAGCGATACAGTCTTAAGTCTACTAGCTAGAAATGAGACATATTGATAGCACTGTTTCTCTCTTTGCATCAAATTGTGCAAGCTAAGGTTGTTTTGATAGCTTTTAGCTCCCAGCAGACAAATGATGAAATGCATCTCTTAGTCATCCAGAACCTTAAAGCAACCTGCGTAGTTGTTCGTATGTAGAAAGCATGTTTAAGTGGAGGAGGCATTGCAAAAAAGCTATTGATCTTTCATACTAGCTCATAATTTCATTCTTTGCCAAAGCTTTTAACACATTGACCTTGAGAGCTCTATGAGGTTGAGGCAACCATTCAACTTGATACAAAACGTTATAAGATAAAATATTGCTTTTGTAAGGTCGAATGCATGAGTCTCTCTCGACCCTTTATCTTACGGGAACCATGCGTCCTAGCCTATATCTAGAGCGTTTGTTGCGCTGGGGTCATTACAAATTACGACAAATCAGTGAATCACCAGCAAGTCAACAAAGTCAAGCTACCGAATAGTGAATTTCAGACACGCTAATCCGGTAAAAACTTTCCTCCACACGCTACACATGTATCAGTGAGTACAGCAATTGCACGCTTTTTCGACTTTCAAAGTCCTGAATAGCGTCGATGATACCGTCGTTCAGACTGCTCAGCACATCAATCTACAACATCACCCGCATCGTCAGTCCACACGTCGCACTACATATTTGCAATTGACCTACCGCTTGACAAAGTTCGAGAGCCAATGACCCGCCTACTTTGGCGTGTTCCGGTGTATCTTTCGTGTCCAGACAGAGCAGATGGAGCGGCCTCCAGGCCGTCGTAGGCTCGTTTCCCGGTCCATCAGGGCCTCCGGCAGCCCCTCGCAGCTGAAGATCTTCGAGCACAATATCAAAGATACGGTCGTCAAAGCAAATTACCACGTCCAGCTCTTGCAGCTCTTTCACACTGAGGTCCTGCCACCGTTGTGGACACTTCTTAGTCAGCATGTCTCGCTCCAGCATAGACAGCACCCCATTTCGCGTGAACCTATCGTTAACACATCATTTACATACGTCCGCATATTCCATTCAATATGCAATACAAAATGTATACAGACATTCATCATAGTAAGTTACATACAACTCTGCATTTTCGTCCTTGAGCTCCTTGTACATGGTCTCATATGGTGTAAAGAACTCGTAGATGCGCGGATCGTCGCGCGATGGACCAGGAAAGCGAACACGATTTCCGGCACCAAAGGAGCATACACGTAGTCCTGCAGCATGTAGATGATCATGCGCCTCTGTGCTGCGATTTACATTGTTAGCGCATAGCATGGCGAACATTGGGCGTGTTGTCTCGGTCATTGTAGACATTGATAGTAGTGAAAGACAACTAGATTCATATATTAAAGTCTTTGGTTCAAAAATCTACTGGTTTAATGATATCTCCTGTAATATTATTTTATACGCATGTTGTCTAAAATAGTAATTATCTTTCTGCGACTACTATTTTTACATGCAATTAATTATCCGGATTACCTTATGAAGTACTATATTTTCACAGCACGATTCATTAGACAACAACTGTCATAGTATTTTTTTATCATTTTGGACCCGATTATGGCAACAAGCCAATGTTGCGCAACTTGCAGCACTTGTATTGTCAACTGTTATATGTTTATCCAACGTGCTGCAAGTTGCACTAAAACTCGTTTATCAATGTCCGTCACACAACACTTGCATATCGGTTAAGTAGTTAAGCGTTAGAACTTGTGGGCGCGTAGAGGGCTCGTCCTCGGCTGTCAATACGCATTTGCATGTGGCCTCTAGTTTGCTGATTAGTGGGACTGCGGACTTACTTTTCACACATGTTGCGATAAGCAAGTGACAACATATAGAAGCTAGGAACGTTCAGATGCCGGTGATGAAAGATGGTGTGGAGGCACGTGATAAACAATACGTGCTTTATGCTGTCGGGTACCCAAAGTCAGCGGTACGATGGATGCGAGTATAGGTGTATTGTACATTTGTATTGAATAGCCGTGACCAGCAAAACTTGAATAGGCGGTCAGGGATTGTTGAATACAACGGGGGCCTTTTGCATTGTATGGTCAACATCTCAACTTCTGCATTGTATGACCGTGCAGCAGAAAAGGTTGATAGCATAATCATACAAGGCTGTCTAGTTAACGTCCTCCATGACATGAGTCCTTCTTTACTTTGTGTGACATGCACATGCATTGTTTGCCGCCTGGACATGATTGTCTTTCACAACAAAACCACTTTATTGTGTATTGAAACCCTTTACAGTCCCACTTGATTGTCAATGCAGCAGATCTGGTGAAAACGCTTAGAGGGACAATCCAATTGTCAAACATCCCACACTAGAACCGCTCCCGACCTCGGGTCATCAAATTCGGATCCTGTGTATTCTACTAGAACGGCTACATTGAATGGGATTGCATAACTACATTACATTAACTACTACAGGTAAACTCAAACTCTATACTATAATATTCCAATCCCCTCTCTATCCTCATAAAACAACGGATTTTCAGCCGTTCTTCGTCTCGTTTGACGTAGCACAGACATACATGCGCCATCGGTTGTTTGCGGGTCTATCAATGTTCGCGTGCTCGACGTGACACCGCAACTGCGTATTTGGCAAGTGCTCTTCGGTGCTCTCAGATTCTAATTTGCAACGTTCGATCGATGGTTGCGATTTCGTTTCAGCCACCGCGCCAAGCCGCGCCACTCACAGCCGAAGACCAGCTGAAATTTCAAGAGATGGCCATGCAATTGTTGGACCGCACATTGCGAGACATGGACGAGCATGATGCGGAGCCTCGTTCACATGAGAAACAGGACCCGCGTCTGTGGAAGAAGATTCACCACAAAGATCACTACACCACGTATACAAGGTGTGATGACGCACCAGAAGCGGCCTACGTGGCGGCGGACGGCGGCCGCAGCACTACATCGCGACCTTCAAAAGACGTGGTTCTTGGCATGGGATATGTGCAATGTCCTCTCAGTGATTTGATGTTTGGTGTCTTTATGGGCAACACTCAGGCGATGGCGCTCAAGTCCGCCGTCGTGGACAAGAACATTGGAAACGGGGCTGTTCTTATGCAGCTCATGGGGCCAACAGAGGAAGACCCGTTTCGATTTCTTGCGCTCAAGTGGATTGAGGTGCGACCGCCTCGTGGCGTTTCTGGAAAGCTCGTGGCGCATCGAGAAGTGATGTTTCTAGGAGGCACAGGCACCATGAGACGTCGAGACACGGGCGAGTTTATCGGCTACGAGGTTCATCACTCAATTGACCACCCTGCTTTCCCTCCTGTGGACGGATTGCGGCGCACGCGCATCGTTATTGGCTCTATTTACCGCGAGAGACCCAATGGAACAGTCGATTTGTTTATCAAGAGCTACAGTATGGAGGCCGACATGGGCAGTATCCTCGGCCCCTTGGCCATGGCCCACGCGGCCAAGTGCATCGAGCAGGTTTGGACTGTGCCAGACTTTGCTTATGCCAAAAAGTTGCGGTGGTGCATCGACCACCGCGTGCACAGAAACAACGCAAAGGCGCTTCCAGCGAAATTGGCCAAGCAGTGTGCATCGTGCAGCAAGCCGGTGGCTACGATCTGGAAGTCCAGAGCGGTGTACCGCGTCTGCAACTTATGCAAGGCGCCGCTATGCTCCAACTGCCGCGTCACTAAAGATCTGTACGAGATCGACCCGTACTTCCGAGCTCGCAAGTTACCAGTGCGGATCTGCCCACTCTGTCAGGAGTTCGTAAAGATGCTAGACGCCAAGGAGATCCAGAGACAGGAGATGCTGCGACCTCAAAACGCCGAAGTGTTTAACCCATTGACGCCTAGCACACTGGAAATTCTGGCACACAACTTTTCGCTTGACAACAGTTTCTCCATAGGTTCGGCGGAGAGTCTGTGCTTGCTTGACTCGTCTCGTGCACGTTCTGACAGTGTCATGACCGACTTACTGCATTGAGGTGAGGCGTGTGGAATTGACGAAGGAGATGCAGACAACTGCACGCGAAAAGGTTTTGATTGTAATATAACTGTGTTGATACTTTCTATTACTAGCGGGTTTATCGATTAAATGAAGATGCCTTTTGCGTCTCGGCAGTCTCAGAAGGAAGTTTGAACATGGACTTGCTAACCATGCGCAGCCTCACCATCAGCGCGGTGTCACCGTGAGACAGCACTACCTATCAGCTCAGATATATGGTTATTTGAAAATCTAGGCAAGCTTAACACATACAAAAGCGTCAACTGAACTGGTCAGCGGTTGGTGACAGCACAGAACTGGGTGCTTCTTTCGCGAGTGATTTGTAAATGCTGCACCGTTTTGTAGTCGTGCAGGTATTAGCAAAGTTCGATGGGCGTTCGTCATTAGTCGTCAAAGCCCCACTTTCCGGACTTCGGCACGCGCGGCATCTACAGCTGCAATGCGGTCAGCTTAAAGCTGACGCTGCTTGCAAATGAGCACTTCTTCCTGTCGGAGCAACATTCCGATATTTACTTATCTCAGGGTACGGAAACCTCAATATGGTTGGTATGCAACGAGGGGCCGCCACTTAGTAGTGTGTGCACGTTTCGCAACTGCAGCGGAATTGCAAAGAACCGGTTGAGGCCGACGGGCAATGTGTCAGCGCTTGAGGTGCCTGCATAGCTAGATCCCAGCTGACGCTACTGCTATCGTGTGGTCGTCGTCTGAAGGGACAATATTGTGTCTTCCTTGACATCCATTCCAGCAGCTGACGGAAGCACCACATGAAGTTTTTGGAGGTTGGCGCGTTTGGATGTGTTCCAAGAGCTAAAAAAGTTGTCGATGCAGCCTCGACAGCTAGAGATTTTCTTTTATTATCGTACCATGTGCCTCCACATATTCCTTGACGTACACGTTGACTTTGAAGTGTCTGCTTCCGAGACCTGCCAATATCTCTCTCATAAAGCTGCAGTTTGTGATGTGACAGCGTGTTATCCTTACTAAAATCGAGGTATCTTGTCACGATACTTGGACGGCCCACAAATCAGAGTGGCTGGAATCCGATACAGTTTCTATCTGGTCGCGTTGCAACTCCAGTGGCATCGAGAGATACCAAATCATCAAAGCAGAATGGTTTGCAAAGTAGTCGAGGGGCCTTCCACCCAGCCATTTGTACCGAGGAGCCGAAATAGGTTGGCAGTGCATGCAGCGTCAATACTGGCTTGCACCGCTGGACTGATAGTTTATTCTGGACTATGCAGCTCTTTAGCAAGCAGCATGTTCTGTGAATATGCTGAAACGACGCCGTACATAATTGTCCAGAGTCCCTTCGATCCACCAGTGGACTCCAGCAGCTTGAACTTTGTCCTCTAGTTGATTTAAAATGTCATGGACACTCGGTCCATGATACTGACTTCGTGCCTTGAGTTAGGTAGAGCCCTTATACACTGTAATATTGTCTCGGTCTTGACGAGTTTCCACAGACGTCAGCGGTGTAGAAGTCGACGTCCAGCACAGTATTGAGAGTGATTGAGGCACTTAGTCTTACCATAATCCGTCGACGGTCAACCGGTAGAAGGACATTATCTTATTAATCAACCAGGTCATGGGATTAAGCCTTCGATAACATTGCTTCGATACCTTGTCATCCATCACTCTCGGCTAATGCGCATGCCAGTAAGACTTACAGTGACCAATTTGGCTATCGCCTTGTACCAGAGTAAAGTAGCAGATAGTAAGAGATTTAGGCGCCTACGTTATAACCGATGGTAAGATCATGTTAAAGTCGTGAAACGGCGGCGAGTTCCGCGAGTCCCAAACGAGACCACCTTGAAATCAGATACAACTGGCTGGTCTGCAAGCCTGTCAAAGACACCATAAAGAGTTCTAGCCAGCATTGCCGATGAAACCCAAGAGAGATCGTCTGTGTCGAGCCGGTTTGTCATTTCTTGTCACCAGGGCTTTACTCTCTGGCTTTCTGTACGCCGGTGTTGGTTCTAAGCAACGCTTTGCATATTCAACACTTGTTGCTCAGAGCGACGAATGACAAATGAAGAATATACTGAACTTCTGAAATACTGATCATTAACACGCGCTTCTTCTTCTTTTCCATCTATCACTTCGTGAGTCTTGTGTCTTTCTCTGAAATGATATGCTTGCAAGATGGGAGACCTTATGCCACGCGATGACATCGCTAATGTCTCTATTTGCTACAGCTTTTATTTAACATACTGCATTAATACCATGTCGATAATCATCAAGTGTCGAGTCTCGTTTTCGTTTAGTTCATCTCTTGTGACTTGCCCTCGAGATGAGCGTCTATCATCCGTCTATAAGTTGCTCACTTGTTTACACAAGAAACCTGAAGCTCAGACCACAGTACGCAAGCTGTTTATGCTTAGCAATCTCGAATGTGTTTTCTACGCAACTGCAACTCCTTCATCTGGTATCAATTTTAGGCGCACTTGTTGGATATGTGAGCTCTGGTGAACTACTTAGCGGTCCGCGTTTCTTTGTCCACGGACGCATTATTTCTGATGCATTGAGGGACAATGGCGAACTACAACTATCTATCGGGTTGCGAGGTGAGGCATTGGCACGTAGGAAGGAGGTAAGGTGTGATTGGAATGTTTGAGACTGTTGATCTTGTTAAATGCCTGATCTTAATCATCATCACAAGACACCTTCTTTCTATAGAGTCATGCTGGATAGAATATACGAGCCAGACCCAACGAGCTATGACGAGGGCATGAATAGCAAAATACGCAACGAATGGGTCGAAGCGATGGATGGATTTTTGGAGATGATCGAGAACAGTGGCGTCTAGAGTATCATTCGTTGGCCTAAAACTTTTGCAAGATTCTTTACAGGTGGGTGTATAAAACCAAAATTGGCTCGGTGGCGCGTCTTGTTGCTTGTGAAAACGAGCAGGTATTTTGAATCGACTATCTGACGAGATGATGCAGTTATGGACATCACTAGCGTGAAAATGAGTTTAGCCCTCGCTGTAAGGCAGGGTAATCCTTTCGTCCATTTCCGTGTACGGATCTCAGAAAGAGGAGTACCAGGCAATGCAAGGGTGTCCAAGCCAAACACGGCAATATCTCGGATGCGTTCATGAAGGCCAAAAAGAAGAGCATCTAGACATTTTGCTTAGCGGTCCGGTTGGCATGGTGGTATGTAAAAGAGATGCGTCACATTGGTGTGCAGAATACATAAGGTCTCGTCCTACAACTGCAACAAGGCTAACGGTTTGACGCAGGCAGGGCGTCTATGTGAGTCAACTGCTGCAAGCACCGTTGACTGATGTCGGTATCTTCCTGTACAATACGGACAAGTGTTTGTCCTATAGACGTATTGTCAGCGGAATCGTTGTGGTTAGAGTTTACATTGGTGACCTCCTTCTGACTCGAACCAATACTAAAGATGTCAACCAATTCTACGTCAGTCTGGAATCGCTGCCGACCAAAATCTCAAACATGTCAGTAAATGTTTAGGCATGCGAATCGAAATGCAGTTCCGTACAACTGGAAAAAGCTATTACCCGATTACTGTGACCAGCAGTTGTAGATCCTTGACAGTGGATCAAGCCGTCATTTGGTAAGTGACGAGAGGCTTCTTGAAGATGCGAAGGACTACGAAAGCGAGTGCGTGCTGATGAATACACATTGAGGGTGGCCGATTAGACCAATAAGCAGCGTCATTGTGACAGTGATGCCAAGAGGAAAATGCACAAAATTTGCCCGACCGATATGTGGCTACGTCACACATCCACAACCTCATATTCTATGGAACGCAAGAAGCGGCATCTTTTACAGCGAGCGTAGAGCTTTCTTTGACGACAGTTTTTCCATTCTTGGCCTTATTGTTTCTGCAATACTCGCAATATGCCCAATTCTTCTTCTGACATTAATAAAGCTTGCGTGTTGCTACAACATTTGTTTGCAGACGCCGTTGGACAGTCTTATGCATACCTGGATAGTTGTGGTTAAGGTCATGCAGCATCTGTGGTCAAAGTTTATCAAAAAATATGTTGCACAATAACTTCCAATGTCTGACCCAGACCTCAACGCCACAAAGCAGTGCGTGAAGAAATAAAGAGCCTTTAGAAAACTATTTCAAATGAATACAATTCACAGCTGTGTGGGTTAGGCACAAACTTGCCACTACGCATTGTCCAAGAGTCTTCACTTTGACATGTTGGTTTACAAATCCACTCAAAAACAATAGCGCGCACCGAATCAATTGTCATAAGTGTCACGCTCAAGCTCAGCTCGCAAATCAATTGTTTTGTTTGCTCCAATTCGTTCTTCGATGACCAATTCGTCCCCTTATGCCAAACCATGACTGCACTTCGAAGTCGCGAGATTGCTTGGTACTTCTAGACAAAATGTGACAACATCCTCTGCACAACGATAAGCGGCTTAAAATTTAAATACTCTTCAGCTCTTCTGCATCATCATCCGAGTATGACCGTCTCAAGTTGACAATCCAATGCATTGTCAAATTTTCTTCTCTGGTTTGTACTAGTTTTCTATGTGCTGCAGCTCCTTCTTACAACGTCAATGCAGTTTGATGAGAAATTCACGCGGTCAATTTCCTCGAAAACGTGTCAAATGGCGTCCGTCCTCAAACCTGCTATCTATAAATCCAATAAATAGATATTCTGCGCTCTGTCCGAAAGCTATGACAACATAATGCTCATTGAAAGCACGATGGACAGGTATGTGACTCGTTATAGGGCTTGACTTTTCAGCACAAGATCTGTCGTCAATTGATTTTACACAACGTAAGCGATTTGTTCAGAGTTCCAGCCGGCCGCAAACATGCTCGGATTCATCTTCTCTTGGCACCATAGGACAAACAAGTTCTTCTACTCTGTACTTTTGAATCAGCATAAGTAGCACTTTGGTGGACGATCATGGACACGTAAAACCAGACTTGGGTATCAACGCTGTTGTTCTCTGAGCTCTTGAAACAACTGGGCGCAGCCTAATGCTTTTAACAAGCGTGTTGAAGTATAGCGCATGATCGTGTAGCTATTTTTTACTTGCCAAGCATCATCACTGGATGGATTACAGTAGGCTTCGTGAGCAGACGACTTATCCGAACTAGCAGCGTCTACTTGCGGTCGCAGTTTGCTTGACTACGTGTTGCTATTATTTTCGAGTATATGAGCGTAGCGCTGTCTAATTTACTTTTTTCGTTGGATACTTGGCTTTGGCGCCGTGCATGAACGGCTCTACAAATCTGAAACAGCAAAGATACATCTTCTTCAGTCCATTTGCGCCTGTAACATCTCTTTTTTCTGTGATACTTGGAGATGTGGACTGAAAAACACAACAGCATCGTTTGATTCATCATTCTATACTTTCATATGATCGATCATCTTGGCGCTAAGAATTGGTGTCAATGACCGGATATGCTGTTTTTTTCAATGCTTATCATCCGAAGACGCTCCGGTATAGATTTTTTACTAATACAAATCAGCGCCGCGTGACGTGTTCATGTCCTACATGGACAACGCAGCAATGCATACTTCCTCTATCTCCACCGTGCTTGACGCTTGATTGCGAATGCATTTCGTCGTTGGCTAAAGCGACGCTAGCAATCTGCCTCTTAGCAGGCTTTTACAAGGAGTGTTGATTGGAACTAACGAACGAACTGCACATTTACATCGTGCAACGTCCCAAGAGTATCAGCTGCTATAACCTTTCGAAAATGCAAACTACTGATCACTACGATCTTGCTTGGGAACAGAGCTGACGGACCAATGCGTAAAAGTCTTCTCTCTCTTGTTGTCGCTCCGTGTGCATCTGTGTGAATAAATCCATGAGCTGCTGTTGCTGTTTACAAACCAGGGACTCCATGTCAGACACGTTCTGGTTCGGGTCTTCTGCCGAGCCTCGCTGGTGCAAAATTTCCAGCAGCATAGCTTGATTCTGTTTGCGTTCTTCCATCCGTTCGTCCCTTAGGTCATGCATCAGCTGCTCAAAGCGAGCATTTTGTGCCTCCAGTAGCGCCTCGACAACCTTTTCGTCAACGTGCACTTCCTCATCCTCATCGACTAACGAATGATTCACTGGATCCCGAGTCTCCGATTCTGGTTCTGACACTTCATCAGCATCAGGAGAAGAGGAAGGACTGGGCGACCGGGACATCGAAACTTCCGAAGATGCCTCGGACGACATCAACGGTTTTCGCATCTTTTTTTTACTCCGTTTTCGTTTGAGACCTGTCACCGTCACCATTCCAAGCTCCTTCTCCTTGTCAATGATGGTGCCTACTTTTAGAAACGTGACGCGGTCAATCTCGCATCCCACCCGCTGACTTGACTTAGGACTTACAAGCTTCCGTTGCAATCGATAGCGTTCGTTAAACGTGAGTTGAAACCAGTCAGATCCGTCTAGTGCCTCCAACCCCGCAACACATTGTTGGATAAAGTGATACGATTGAATGATACACCGTTTCTTGGCTGTAATCGAGCCCACTGACGTGTCTTGCGGTCCACCGACTGCGACGAACTTCTGCCGGATCAACCAATTGGGTAGTTTCACCTTCTCGTCTACTTTGTTACCATATTCGAGAAACTCATCCACCGCATATTGCCACGCCTCCACAAACAGAGCCCAGTCACGTGCCGTCCATGTGTTCTTAAGTGATTCTTCTTCCATGTCAGCAAATTTCTTCGTATGATGACTAAATTTCAATAGTTCTGATTGCTTCCGACCGGTCATTTTGAGCTTGGGTTTCTTCACTTCAACTGCTTTGTCCCCGCAGATGCGATCGAGTCTTCGAAAGAGATCGGGATTAATGACCGTCATGCCCTTTTCCTTTTTATTTTGAATCCGACGTAGTTCGTGTTGTTCAGCTGTCGACAGATCAAACCACCCGGGTGATCCGTTTTTGAGACTTCGCTTGTTGGTTTCCACGATCAAGCGGTACGACGTACACAGCCGATGGTGTTGGCGGGTGACCGACGACAGACTGCGTTTATTAGATCCCGTTATAGCGCAGAACCGCGCGTGTAACGTAGAGCGCTCCCCTGTAGAGAGCAATAGACGGTTCTTCGGGTCGTCAACTACTTCCTCCCACGCTTGCACTAGTTGCAACAATTCCTCGTTCGCCCATGCCGAACTAGATCTGGCGGTAGCACTTGCAGGTGCCATATTACGCACTTAAAAGGTGGTTGAAAAGGAGGGTTTGACGAGGCGTAGTGCGCTGTATGAATGTGACGGGGCGTTCGGGCGTACGCAACCGACAGACCGAATTGAGACTCGAACTCAAAAAGTTGATTTTTACTGGCCAGGGATTTGTCGACATTTCGTCAAACATACAGAAACCAAGTCACAAAAGCATTTATTTTAACGGCTTTCAGGAGTAAGTGGAATATCATAACCTTGCTGACTCCACCTTGCCAATGACTTGATGTGTTCTCAATATAACATTGAAATCAAAGCAACTACCTTACTTACGGCTGTAACTCACTCCTTGTGCTCCTGATCTTGGCTCACAAGACGAGAAGTTCCCAGTTCTCGCAGCAACATCCGAGCCTGATCGCGTTCTTGAGAACGCTCTTCCTGTAGCTGGTTAAACAGCCCCAACATGTGCTGGCGTTGTTTCTCCACCAATGCCTCCGCAAATTGTGATGGCTGACCCGCTTTTTGAGCTGAAGCATTGCGCAGCTTGAGTGCTTCGAGGATGATCTCCAAGTTGTGCTGACGCTCTTGTCGCCGTTCCTCTTGGAATTCCGCAAGAAGTGACTCAAACCGCTGCGTCTGAGCATCCAACAACCGCGTCACCCACTTAGCATCACTCGGCCCCGTGCGACGGCGTTTAGGAGGAGAGGTCGTTACAATGGGGTCCACGTTGCGACTTAATCTTCGAAAAACAACAGGATTAGGACGCCTTGCTGCTCTATGTGCCAATGCCTGACTCGAACGTTCGCTTTTGCCACTTTGAACAGATGCGTCAGTACCCGACGAGTCTTCATCGCTGGAAGACTGTTCTGCAACCACGTAACCTCTAGGCGGACCACTTTTATACTTATCCTTAGCAGATTCCTTGTCCGTCTTTTTATGCGAACGACGTAGCAGTTCATCCAAAGTTACCGGGGCACGAAGCGCATTAGCAATTGGAGTTAGTACTGTTCGTTGTGCCCGATCAATCTCACCAAGTTGCTGATACGTTTCTTTTTCAATTAAACACGCGTGTTCTTGGTGATGCCCGTGCATCTTCTGCAGCTTCATCCGTTCATCCGGCGTCATACTAAACCAGTTCGGACGTTCGCTTAATGAAGCCAATGTGCGTAGTACATTGCGCAACGACCGGAAAGCCATCATTATGGCATGTTTCTTCGCCCCAGTTGACTGGTTTGTTCGGGCAATGCTTCTGTCACCGCATAGTTCGACATATCGCTGGTGAATGAGAGAATTAAGTCGAAGCCCTTCGTTGCGAGAGGCGTACGATCCGGCGTATCCATTGTCTGCAAGCGACGTGACGACCTCATGCCACGCCGAGATGAGTTGTTCCTCGTCTCGTTTCGACCACTTGGAGGCCATTTTGCTCTTGGATTTGCTTTTAGCTTTTGGAGGTGTGTCTTCCGTATCGGAATCGCTCTCTTTGTAGCTCTTTTTGGTCAAAACAACATGCTCCAATAAGTTTCTATTCTCGGAATGCGATGGCTTTGTGGCAGGGGATGATAGAGGCGACAAGGACGGTGACAGCGTTGGCCGCACTTGATTCGTGGGGCAAAACATCGGTAATCCCGCTAACGCTTCTGCCGCCGCCTTCATCTCATCGGCCATCGGACGTTCCGACGCTTGAAACGTTTGAAGCGGAATATTTGGAGATTCCTCACAGATTCGAAGGAGAAAGTCGAATTCGTCCTGTGCTACAACTGCGAGGTCCCCCAATCGCCCGTTCATACAGCGCAGATCATCCTGCTGTTGTACCGGTAATTGAAACCACGTTGGTCGTCCCGAACGTAAACTCTCTGTATTAAATGCACGTAAAAATAGAAAAGTTCGGACCAAACGTTGACGCTGCGCTTCCACTTCGACAAGGGCGATGGGGGCTCCGTCGCGTGGTCGTAAAGCATTGAATCGCGTGTATAACCGCTCCAAATCATGACCACGTAGTTCATCACGGTCACGAGGTGCATCAAGTGTTTGTTCCCACGCTTGTAATAGCGCAAAGAGTTCGTCCCGTCGCCACCAATGGGTCATTTGAAACCTTTTTAGGATGGATGGATTTTCAACAACTGAATTAGTTTGAGGTTGTCTAAAGTATTGGGATAAAAGTGACTTGAATGACTTTCTAAATTAATATAGTCTAGGATTTTGTAATCGATAAGATGGAGCGCTTTATTTGACAGCCTTAGGTTATTAATTTAGTACTAGGTTTGAGAAATTCGTTCACGGTCGGGGTCGTACGTAAATCAAGATGAACGAGAATATCTCAACTTGTATTCAACTATTTCCTCAAGAGAATATTGAGCATGTAGAAGTATCGACACGTGTCCAAGTGATTGATAAAGACCTCCATTTGACGTTAGTAATGGTAGATATTACTACTCAGACCTCTCTTTTTACCATGCTAATCAATCACCTTGTGCTCATGACCTTTTTTCAATATCATGGCTCACTCGTGTATTTTTGTTTGCTACATAGCAAGCCGATGAACTTGCTCCATTATTCTCGGGAGCAGCATGGGCTGGTACTTTCTTATGGGATGCTGCGGTCCATTTAGCACGTCGGTTTCTGACTGACTATCGTCACCACCTTCAAGACCCGACCAACTCGCTGCGTGTCCTCGAACTTGGTGCTGGCATGTGAGTCAATGATAAATGCTGACTTTGATGTAAGAAAAACTGATACTTACTTGCTGATGTATGTAGTGGCGTGCCTGGCATGGCGGCGAGAGTGGCAGGGGCAAAGCACGTGGTGCTCACGGAGCAGAACGAGCTTTTGCGACTGATGCACGTGAATTTGGCGGCCAATCGACAAGTCTTGCGTCTATCACATGGTACAGAGCTTAAAGAGGATATCAATGACAAGGGAGAGATTGTGGCGAGACCACTGAGTTGGGGGGTGCAGCAGGCAGAGGAGTATGTGGCTCAGTACCGGGATGAGAAAGTCGATGTGGTGCTGTCGTGCGACTGCATTTACGAGCCGCTGTATGGCACGTCATGGCGAGCACTGGCGCAGACGATGGAGCTCTTGTGTGTGGCAAATCCCAAATGTGTTGTGCTCATGGGCGTCGAACGTCGCAACCAGGACGGTGTCGACAAGTTCTTAGAGTTTGTGGAGAAGAAGACCAAACTCAACAGCACATTGGATGAACAAACTATCGGCTCTGACAACAATCGATTAGAAGTGTATTATCTAGGACTTCCTGCAAATGCAAGAGAGTGACAAGCTTAGCGTAGTTGGGTAGCCCAGCTGGCCTGTGCCTGAGCCAGTCAGGCGTTAGACAATCGACTGAGACAGCAGTACTCTTCAACTCTGGATATTTTTGACTGTTGGGAACCCGCTGATTTCGTTTACATAGGACGATGCCACACTTCCTCACAATTGTAAGCCTTGGGGGTGACTTGAATGACCACGTGTAATGGGATATTGAGCGTGGGGCACTCGTGCGGAGACTTGTTTGTAAGATAAGCGTACAATACACGAAGTATAGCCTGGTGCGCCACGATCAGCACAGGCTTACCCATCCGCATCAGCTCCGTGATCACCGGCTCGAGACGATGGATCACGTCCTGATATGACTCGCCACGCGGATAGCGATAGTGTAGTTTGTTGTTCTTGCGTGCCAAATATTCCTCTGGCATCTCCTCAGCTACCTGCTCATATGTCATGCCATCACATATACCGGCATCGATCTCATCTAGCTGCTTCCACTTCACAATCGATCGCCCACGAGCCGCAATTCGTTCCACTGTCATTCCCGTACGTAGCATCGTCGACGTCCATACTGCCAGTTCTGTGTCAGGCGTTGGATAATATGCGTCAACAAACCGGTCTAGTTGTTCGGCATACTGCACACCTAGAGGACTAAGAGGCGAATCGCCACCAATACGCTTCTGCATGTTGTACATACTCTCGCCGTGACGACTCAACCAGATCGGTCGTGGCTTCAAGTTTAAGTTGGCCATTAGGAACATAATACGCGACTGCAAGTAGCCGTACACCTGGTTGCAGAAAATTTGGCGGCCTACATCAATGATCTTGATAAATGGTGCACCCTCGAGATGTGCGGCAAGCGGTTCGTACAGTGACTGGTAGTGGTTAATGCGGCTATTGTAGTCTTCAGCAGCCTCTTCCATCGTCTTACCCGCGTAATCAGCCGAGTTCAGCTTCATCTCATTGATTGACGAAGCGATGAGATCCGGGTCATCGCACACGGATTCGATAAACATCATCTCGCACTTGTAGCGCGAGTGTACCTCGTTCAGCAACATCTGACGACGTTTGCGCGTCACATTTGTAGCATCAAAAATAACGCAGTCGCAATCGTTGCTCTCTAGTGCGGCAATTGAGTCGTCCAGGCATTTCTTGGCGAGACCAGTACGAATCTGAAATGATTCTTCGTTCAACGGATCCCAAAACACGTGGTTTACATTCGATCCAACAAGTCGCCGACGATACTCTCCAGTGTTAAACGTGCGTGAGTGGTGCCCCATCCACGTCAGATGACGCGCCAGAATGTGTCCAATGTACGTCTTGCCACGACCAGGCAGGCCTACAAGAAATATAATCAGCTTGCCACCGCTGCGCTGCTGCGGAGCCGTCTGCTTTGCAGTGTGCGGACCACTCACCAGCACAGAGCGATGTCCACCTAATTGAGCACGAGTATTGTGTTCATGTGTGACCAGGTCTCCGCCAAAGTGTTGAGTCGTCGCTGCTAGTAGCACTGAGTTGGTGATGACGTCGTCCATATAGTTCACATACTTGGGCGCCATCTCGGCAGCAGCCAAAGCATTGCTCGACACTGCATTACTGAGTAATTCTTCGCTCTTAGACCTAGTTAACGTGCTAGCTCTAGGTCTTGTCATATTACCTAGTAAGCTATGATTGCTCGTGCGTCGCTCGCTCACGTCAATGCCGTATTCTAAATCTTCCGTTTCTTGAGGTTTTCGAGGAGTTGTCAATGGCGTAGCTCTTGGTGTTGGATCCGGTTGATCCAGGTGTTCATAAGTCGGAGACCGGAGCGGTCGCTGCACGGGAGACGTTTGCAGTCGAAGTTTCATCAGCTCTTTACTTGCCCGTGGATTCATAACCGGTAGACCATCAGTAGCGTCTCGAATGATGGTTCGAATAGCTCGTTGTAACGGTTTTTCCTTGGTCTGTGGGTCCACAATGGGTCGAATTTTGATAAAATTATTGAGATTCCCATACCCATCGGGAGCAAATGTTACTTCGGGATCATATTGCCATGCTCCATCGACACAGAATTTGAATAAATGTGTACCCACTGGCAACCAGAGATTTACACTAAAAAGTGGCGTGCCATCCGATAATTTCTGTTTCTTGAGTAGAAGTTGAGACCCCCAACTATATAGGAAAATCACATTAGAAATGGCTACATTTGTTACAGTTACTTTAGGGATACAAAACGATAAAGAACGTACTTATTAAATGACCCAGTCACACCTACAGACTCACAGCCACGAGCCCATTCAATAATAGCTGGATACAAATGTTCTGCTTTTTCTTGAACGCTCTGTAATGGCGTTTTTGATACTGTCTCTACATGTTTTGCATGAGGGGAAAGAGAGACAGGACTTGTGTTTGTGCAGTTACTATCATTTGCATCAGAATTCATGATACAAGGCGAGGGACGGACAGGAGTAATTACTTTAGCTTAAGGATTCCAAATGGATTATGAAGAGAAGTATGTAGAAATAGATAGTTTTAGTAGAGTTCTAATACGATTTGAACCCAAGACAGTTCATAATGGATAAGTAAAGTAACACATTTTAGAAAACACAACTGAGCACTTTTGAGTCTGATTATGAGAAGTCTTTGTTGCTCGTCGCTGGGACAATTAAGAACTGTTGTTAAACGTCGGAGATATCGCGTTGTTGTCAGATTGCTGCAACTTTTTGTTGCAAGACACAAAAGCTTCGCAAAACTGGTGAATTCTGTCAGCATTAGATGCAATCAATATATCTGATGTCATTTAGAAGTGTCGTCATATTAGAAACAGTAGTCACACAAAAGGTTATTTGGTCATGTTTTGCTAAACACTACTAGCTTATGAGTCGAGTAGATGACTGTCATGAGCGCTCTAGCATTGTCATCGTAGAGGTAGTTAGTTAACTGACTGAACACCTACGGCATCGTGTTGAAGACTTTTAGTACAATCAAAGTAGAAACTAGAACTCTCGTACAAAATCAGACTAGAAACTAGAATTCTAGTACAATCAAGCTTGACCGATCTAGATTTAGTCACAAAGAACACGTCGTCGACACTTTTGAAAAGTAGCGTTTATTTCACACTCGTATCTTTTTTTTGGCCAAGGGTTGTGACTGCACGCACGTATGTGAATACGTATGTACCATTCGGTGTAGTAACATTGAGCTTGTAGTTGTCCATCCATACAGGTCACAGCAATTATAATTTGTTACTTTCCACTCTACGTCATCCAAATTTTCGTATTGCTGCGATGGATAAAAGTAGCGTCTAGTATCAGATAATGTAGTCGTGGTCTTAGTTCCTCCTTGTATCTATCTATATTAGTCCAATATCTTTCTTCATTTTCTTGGGCTATTGCGACCGAGACGCTAATGCGTTTCACAAAGTGCGTGATGCTCATAGTTTTACCACAGAGAAGATCCAAGCGAAGTTTCTTCCTGCCCATGATCTCGCTAGCACGAGGTCTGAGTGCAATTGAGGCAAATGTGCAGGACGGCAGTCTTAAAATAGCAGACATGTCGGTGGCACAGTCACAATCTCAGCGCATACGAAGTTGCTAGCAACCATTCAACGACAAAGAAGCTTTGCAAATGATTCTTAAGACTTATGCATGTTATTTAAAATTGGCGCTAGCAATGTCGGTGTCCAATGCATCACTTGTGGCTAACGCCAATTAAGCGTAGAGGTGCCAAATGTTACGAGGGGGACATACTGGTTGGGCAACGCACTGATACAATCTCTTTCAATCTTAGTTGCTTCTGCTAAAGCAGCACAAAATGAACTCTGGGCCCCGGATGTTTGCTACTTTTCTTTTGCTTGCTATCAAGTGAGTCAAAGACTTTGCTATTCTTGTAACTTTAATATCAATGGACTCACAATTCATATGTACTAGATCTGATGCATTCACGCTGCCTCGCACCACTACCAACCTTTAAACTTGAAGGCACAGATATTTTTCACGAGTTTATCACACGCTCAGGAAGACAATGGAATTGCCGAGTCTTTGATCTTGCACTCAATCACATCTCATCTTCGATATCGAATGATGATGTCAAGGAGCTCATACGAAATGGCACTCGACAAAGCTGCGGTGCTGCTACAAGTACCTTGACGTATACAGCGCAGGAATACATGACCCTCAACGTCCTTACATTCCAAAATGATGATGAATGTTTTATTGATTGGTTTGAAATGAACTAGAGCCGCAGAGCAGCACATGCATCATCTAAATGACGAAAGATCGTCTCAAGCCGGAATGGAGCCGATTTAAATGAACATCGTGTATGAAATTCTTTGGTCTTGTATTGAGGATAAAAACTACAGAAAAACTCAAACAATTGGTAATATCTTTGTGAAAATAAGATAATTGATACTTTGATACTTACTAAAATGACAGAAAAAGAACCTGCAGGTTTTTATTTACGAATACAGATCCCATCAAGTGTAGCCATGTCAGACAATAACGGATTCTTGTTTAGTCAATCATTTAGACAATGGGTTTCGGGGGGGGAGTTGGCGAGTCGCACATAAGGACGTTTCGGAGCAGTTACAATATAGAAACAACAAGTGTCGAGACTAACGTTTAGCAACGTTGTGGAGTTCTTCATTGCGAGTTATAGTATCTACAGATGGCTATTGTGGCTGCACTGGTTTTTGCAATACCACAGAAAACAAACTAAACTGTTTTACATTGCTTTGCTGTCTCTGTTCATGTTTGTTTTTATGCAAAAGAAATGGGTGAATCAACATGAAGAAAAGGCTATTGACGTTGAGACTTGTTTTCATTAAAGTAGCGTGTAGATAAACTTATTACTATGTCTATAACGAATAAAGATCAAGCACGACGACATCTTATTTTCACATGGCAAACATAACGATCTCATTACTCGCTTCAACAGAAGAAGGCAGACATTACTCACCTTTATGCACTTTTGCCATTACGCCCAATCGTCAGTTATCTTTCTGGCGACATATGGACTTCAAACATAGCTAAATAGCACGTGAATGAATGTAGTCGGGAAATAAAAAAAGCAAAGTACAAACATTAAGATAAATACGGTCAGAGAAGGGAGGTCAGTATAAGTGTGTGCGTATGCCCTAATCGCCTCTGTTCCCGTCGTCTGCCTTCCTTCTGGCACTCTCTAACCAAGCGACAAACTGTACCTGCTGTCTTTATTGTATCGCCATCTCATTTGTTCATCCCTTGGTGTATGTATGCCATGACGTCGTCTACAGGGGGTAGAGTACGAATTACAGCAAAGGGCTCTACCATTTACGACTCGTACCCGCTTAGTCTCCGTACGTTTCTAGCCGAGGACCCGCCATCTTTTGTACATTCGGTGTCACATCCAGTCGAAGACCCACTACAACAGACAATGACTATCGATGATGACGATTGTTTTAGTAATTTGCAGAATACGTCATCATCTGTGACTTCGACAATTGATGTGAATGACGGAGTGGTGGTACAGTTTATCCCTTTCCCATTTGTTGCAGCAATCCGTGGAAACCAAAGTGCTGTACACTCGCTTACATACTTTTGTTTTTGTCTCTTTTCTTTTCCATTGTGTCTGTGATATATAGCAGAAATCAACTACTGCCTCTCGCTCAGCGCAACTTTGCAGTACATTTGGTAAATTTCACACTGAAATTTTTGAAACAAAAGAGCGATCGAAGGTTTTAAGCGCCTTACGTCATCGTGGCAATGCGGCAAAAACTGTATCAAATATGAAACAACGAGTTCCCATTCGTCCGATTGCGCCATCAACATTTACAGCTGATGACGTGCTTCGCGCTGGGACATTAATTAAACAAGGAAGTTGGCGTCGTAATTGGAAAACGAGGTTTTTTATCTTACGCAGTGATTGTCCGAGTTTATGCTATTTCACATCCGAGGAGAAATTAGAATTATTAGGTGAAATTCCGATTACAGAAGATACAATTATATTGGATCGTAGTGGTGGAGGTCATGCTCCATATCGATTTCAGATTCGATCGGATGCACATACACTCTTACTTGAAGCAGAAAGTCGAGATAATCAAAAACGATGGATTGAATCATGTCAAGAACTTGCTGATGCGATTCGAGCCTCGAAATTCTCCGTTAATACGAGTTTTTCCAATACATTTGATAGTCGACAGTCATCAATTGGGAGAGGAACAACAACTACAACGACCACGACAGGTGCTGCTACAATTCGCGCTACTTCCGATGTGGATGAAAAACGTCAATTATCGCATGTTCAAGATGATGATAATATTGATTCTAGTCCAGGAGGAGATGAAATAGAGGGACGTATGAGAACCAACAGCACGATTAGAGTAGTGAGACAGGAACGAGGGATAGATCGATTGTATGATTTGTCCATTTCAGTGCTTATAGGCCGATGTAGCAGATTGGCTCGCTCAGTGGAACATTTAGACAAGGAGAAAGATCGGACAAGCTGTTTTGTAGCCGTAAGTGGCTACATTTGCAGTACTAAAACGATTGTAGAACTTGGAGCAACCGACGCAGTCAAGTTGACGACATTAGTCGCTGCATGTGGAGCGGCTTCAGGTTCAACAGGAGAACAAACGCCTGTGCCCTTCTCTATCGTTATGACTGCAGAGCTGGAACGCTACGACCAATTGCGATTAACGTTGTGCAAGTCGCAATTGACACAAGGTCCAGGGACTAGCCAAGGAACGTATGGAGCGGGTTGCTGTCGACTTGATGATCAGTTACTAGGTTCAACTCCATGTGCTATCCAAGTCACAGAACGTAGCACGTTGTCTAGAGACTTGCTTGGAGCAAATAATGCAGTGCCACAGCATAAAAAAACGAGCCTTGGAGAGTCTGGTATATCAGAGTTGGTGAATAGTGAGTCGCAGCTGAGTCTTGCGGCAGACAGTGATAGTGTGCATTTATTGGTGCAGGCATTTCGCTCCGTCCCGCCGCAAAATGTGCTTTCCACGACGGGCGTAGACATGGCTAATGCCAAGTATTTGATTCCGTCAACCTTAGCTCCTGGTCGGGAGACTGCTGGCAAGATGGCGGCGGGGACGCGTCTCGACTTATCTGGTGGTACTCGCGGCAGCGACATGCGCACATTCATTGAGAACGACACTTTTCTTTCCGGTGATGGGTTGTGTGCAATGAATGAAGCTCCTACGGGTAATCTTCGGTTTGTAGCAGTGGACGAGATTTTGCGTGTACCGCGCAGTACATTTGCTTTGCCTGTGGCGTATTTGGACTTTCTTGAGGAGCAAGCGTTAGAGCGCTCACGGTGGATACAGAAGCGGTTGCATAGTATGGCTGCTCGTCCGCGTGACGTTGAGCGACTAAACGTGGAGCTTGACTTTTTGCGAAAGAAGCAGGAGGAGTATCTTAAACAGCGCCAGTTCCTCATTCAGCAGGAAAAGCGATTATTGGACGAGCAAAAAGATGGTAAATTCTTTTTGGCGGCTAAGCGCGCTGGCATAATCGTAGCAAACGAAAGAGAATCTGCAGCAGCGGCCAACTCGTCTATGGCAAATGCAGCATCGACGGGAGGTGGAGACATTGAGCCGGCGGCACCATTTAAGCGGAGCACGTACAAAAATTTGAATCTTTGGCAGTTTTTGCCTACCAACATGCAGGACCAATTTCTCTGCACGTATAAACCACCTGCTACCACCAAACCAAGTCGCAATGGTGCACGTCTTACGTCACGGCCATTTGTATGGCATACGATGACAATGGGCTGTCCGGCTGCTCATACCAAGGGTTTCGCTAATGGCGGCTATCCTGCTTCGATTCCCATCATAACCGTTAATTCACCTGGTACAGCTGATGATGAAGCCCTAGACAGTAGCTATAAGGGCGATATTCAGAGCCCGACATCTCCCATATCGTCATCCAGAGGAGGAAACAGCAGCAGTGTGCTCGCCGCCCAAGCGTCATCAAGTGATGATTCTTTGGCTGCGTTAAAGCTACGTCTTGAGCTACAGGACCGTCTGACGGTAATTGGCAGCCAAATTCTATCTGCTACAGCAGCTTGCATACTTGCCTCACTGGATCTGGCGCTGAGCGGAAGCGCTCAGCATCAAGCACAAATCGACCGCGCCCCGACGTTTGGTTTTCTTATGAACTTTGAGTCGCTGTTGAGCACACAAGGCAAAGAATATGGTATGCTCGAAGACTTTGCTGCTGGAGCACGATGGTTACGCAACGTATATATTCAATTTCGCCGGCACGTGGTTACAGGTACTTTCTTTTCCCTCAGAAAGTATACCCCGCCGGGGTCTAACGCAAACGATAACAACTGCTTGCTGCTGACCATTGGTATTGATGACAACCATATGTCTTTGCTGCCACAGTGCCTTGTCTCGGGCGATGAGGTTGTTCATGTGCGTTGTGTGCTGTTCTCTCAGGGAGTTAATGAGAAGCAAAGTCTTGTACATGCTTACAAGTCTAGTGCCGTCAAGCTGCAAGAGTGCATTAACCGGGACAACCTGCTGGAACTCAAGCGCATTTATTCGCTCTATCGACAATTGCGCACCGACGAAACGGCGAATCGTGTACGCAAAAGTCGTCGAGTCCGAGCTCACAGTGGAATGATATCTGCTGCCACCGATGACGCCGATGAAGCTGCGATGGCTATCGATAGACACGATCTTCAAGCTTTGGACGATATGCTGGTTCAAGTCGAACATCACATTTGTTCACCTGCAAGTCAGTACAAGAAAAACGTGGCGCTGTTGATGGATTCTTCAGACTTTTGTAGAGCTCTGGGCGGTGCGCGTGTTACATGCTGCAAGAGTGGCAAGGACCGGACGGCAATGTCGGTGACATTAGAGCAGGCGAGATTACTGTGCGCCGAGCTTCAGGCCTCGCAAGGTGCTGCACTTTGTGCTAACATGCGGCTTTATGGAGTGCGTCGTCGCAACGTCTTAATGAATACGAAGGCAGACAAGTTCGCGTTTAATGAAATGCAACGGAAAATGCTGCCCGACTGCTACAAACCGCCGGTGGGCACATACAAGTCTGGCAAGACATAACGAATGACATTGCCGATGAATCTGGATAAAGTGGGCAATAATCAAAGGGAATCTCTGGCTTCGCCGGGATATTAATATTTAGATGGATCGTGACGAGAAACGACGTGTTGCTCGTGTTGCGGCTCGGTCGGAAAGAGCCTGTATACGATGAGCCCTTGAAGAGATCCAACAGGCTCAGTCGCTTTCTCGCTCTGCCTCCTAGCGTTTCCTCAGTAATGGAGATGAAGGTGTGTGTTATCGGGGCAGTGTTATTACTACGTAAAGAAAGCGATATGTGAGAGTTCCATATCGAGGTTAGTGAACATGTACAACGACAATCAATTGAATATTACTAACAATTATGCTCTCAGTTGAGCAGATCACTCAGTTGGCTTGTTTTGTAATTATCATAATATACTATCAGCTTTTTATCAGAATGCTTTTATTGAATCCACCGGTATGTATCCCGTCACTACCGGTTTTTCTCCTTGGTCACCAGTGAGCTTCCATTATTGTATCAAGACGTCGTCGTCGTCATCATCGTGATGCCTCACCGTCGTGTTGCTCCAAACGCGTCCGTTAGCGACGACACTCGTCGTGAAGTTCCATTACAAGCTGTTTTATTTGCTGACTCGTTTACGGAGACATTTCGTCCCATTACATTGAATTTCCCAAAGGTATTGCTTCCTCTAGCAAATGTACCAATGCTTGAATATTCCTTGGAATTTCTAGCGGCTTCAGGAGTTCAAGAAGTTTTACTCTTTTGTACGCGTCACGTGGAACAAATTGAGAGTTTTATTGAAAATGAATCACAAGTGGGACAGCGTCTTGATGTCACGTGTGTCAGTAGTCCCAGTTGTCTCACTGCAGGTGATGCGCTGCGTGAATTGGACCGACGTCAGTTAGTACAGAGTAATCCATTTGTTCTCATGAGCGGTGACGTAGTAGCTAATGTGGATCTTCAGGCAGCCATTGCTGAGCACAAGAGCCGCAAAAAGGCCGATCCGAACTGCATCATGACGAGCATTTTTAAAGAATTGCGCCCGAACTTTGCCACGAGCGTCCGACCGCTGAATGACGAGCTGGTTGTGGGCGTTGATGCCGTTACGTCGCAGCTTGTGCTATATGAAGATGACCCGGAGCAGAGAAGCACGAGATTAGCCACGTTGTTTCTCGAGAACCATGCGCAGATCGCGCTACGTAGCGATTTGCTGGACTGTTACATTGATGTGTGCTCTCCTGAAGTCTTGCTAAAGTTTGCAGAAGATTTTGATTATCAGGACTTGAGACGAGACTTTCTGCACAATGAAGTACAGAATTACGAACTAGGCAAAAAGTTTTTCGTCAAGGTCGTGACAGACGAATTTGCAGCCAGAGTGATGGACCCGAGGACGTATGCAGGCGTGTCACAGGCTATTTTACAACGATGGGTGTTCCCCATGGTGCCAGATGCAAACTATCTGGGTGCAAGCTCACACTATGTGTACTTGCGGGGCATGCGCTACAAGGATGTTAATGTGACACTCGCGAGGACTTGCGATGTGCAACGTGAATGCATTCTGGGAGCAGGAACAACCATTGGAGACCGTTCATGTGTGCACAAGAGCGCTATTGGTAAGAACTGCGTGGTTGGTAAGAACGCGACTATCGACGGCAGCTTCTTGTGGTCGAATGTGGTGGTGGAGGACGGTGCAATTGTGACCAGTTCCATCTTGTGTGATAATGTGGTGGTAAAATGTGGAGCAGTTATTGGTGAGGGCTGCGTGCTGTCTTTTGGTGTTGTTATTGGCGAAGGGTTCTCATTGCCGCCATTTTCAAAAGTAACGAAAAGCCTCGCTCAAGTGGCGGACGATGGGTTCTTTTCGGATGTGGACGCTTTGGCACCGGAGGAGGAGTGTAGCAATGCGCTCTCTCAGTGGAATTCAAAGGATGTCGGTGTCGGTGGCGTTGGACGTATTTGGACCTTGGATGAAGATGATATTGAAGTGGATTTGGACAGCGATGAGGAGGATGCGGACGAGAACGAGGTGAAAGCGAAGAAGCAGGCGCGTCGCCTTGAGAAGCTTAAGAGTACTCTCATGGGTGCACATGATGTAGTGTCGAAGAAGATGCGCCGCTGGGAGGAATGGGACACACTCAGCTCTTCTGAGGAGGAAGATGAAGATGATGATGACATGCTGGCTACGGCCAATGCGACCGACTTTGAGGTGCCATTCCAGCAGATTATTCGTGAAAACGTATGCACTGGTGACGCGGCAGGACACAATGTTGACGATCTATTCATGGAAATTAAGAGTTTTAAGTTTGCACAGAACCGGTCGTTTGGTGAAGTGATTGAGGCCATTGTGCCGGGTCTGTTAGATCTAATTCCGACGGGTAACGGGCAGTCGGCAATGACCATCTTGGCCCTTGTGCGGACAAAATTCCAGAAGTGGAGCTCGGTGATTCAGCGCTGCCTCGTGGAGCAGGAGGACCAAAAAGCTGTAGTAAACGCTCTAGAGAGCTATTGTGCGGGTCCAGAAGAACGTCGGACATTATGGCTACCCTTATTCCGCTTTTTGTTGCAGACTGTGTATGACTTGGAATGGGTCGGAGAAGACGTGATATTGGAATGGCATGAGGCGAAGCAAATAACGGCAGATAAGGAGGAAGCTGTTGATGCGCTTTTGGTTGCGTCAAATAAGGACGTGCAGGAGTTTATCGATTGGCTTCAGGAGTCCGACGACGAAAGTGATACAGAAGACAATGAGTCGGACGCGTAAATTTGTAATCCTCTACTGACTAATAATCATCAAAACCTATTCTCTTTCATAGTTTATACATGTATATGATTTGTAGATACATCTGGTTGTTGTCTCATTTTCCGTTCTGTAGAGTGATGTACTGAATCTATGACACGCCAGAAAGTCGGGTCCGAGGTCTGCAAAAAGTAATAAGTTAAGTGCCTTTCGATCATGTAAAATTATCGGCGGAACGTTCCGCAGGATTTTCGAAGTGATCTGTTTCTGCTTCAATATCGAATAAGTGGCTGTTAGTGGTAGTTGACGACAAAATTTTCCTACCCTTACTTACTTCTTATACTCAGATATAGATATAGATATAGATATATTTCTTACAAGGAGTCAGTCATCTTATGATTTAATTGCAGAAAATAAGGTTTTGTTATACAGTGAATCAATCATTAGACCTGTAAGAACTGGTATAATAAGAATAAGAATACGAAACAAAACTGACTAAAATCACGTTTTTTTATTCAGTTGATTCAAATCAGCCATGAAGGTTCTGCCTTCAACCAAACGTCGGGATTTTGATAGAAAAGATTTTAACCTAAAGGTTCAAGTAGCCTCTTCACTTTACCTTTTCATTGTAAGATCACACTAGAAAATTGACAAGAGAAATCATGTTTTGGTCTGCAGCCTTGGATCTAAAAACTCAAAGGATGACACATCCTCGACCTTATTATGGTTCATTTCATCGTACGATAAATAATAATAATAGTAATAGTACTCTTACTACTAGTGATAGTAGTAGTACTAGTAGTAGTAATAGTAATAATAGTTGTAGTTTTCATATTCCACAAAGTATTCCCGAGCATCAACCAGTATCACAATTTACGTCTCCAATACCAGTGGATTTACGTCGTATTGAAGAGTATCATGAACGACCAGATACGGTTGTTGCACGTACGCGAGCGTCTTTACAGTTGTCCGAGCAGACGCAAATGGCACTGAAGCTCTTGCTACAACACGAACGTGAGTTGAAACCCAAGTCCAGTGCGACTTTGGCTACAATCTCATGTATACCCAAGAATCCTTCTGACTCGTTAAGCAGCTGGAGTCTCATGAATGGCTACAGTGCTCAACGAAAACCATTAAATGACTTACCAGAACAAACGCCATTGCTGAAGCCTTTTGCAAGTGTTTATTGTGATGAAGAAGATTCAAATCTACAAGAAGAAATTAGTAACGAGCACAACTATTGGATGCAAGAGCTGGAAAGACGACGTGCTGGTGTGAAAAGAAGTAGACGACGCACTTGCACAACCACGTCAGAACGAGCCACGACGTCGCCCTTCAAGGTGGGCCTTGTAATGTGTTCTGTACCATTGGTGCTGGTGCTAGGCTTCATTTTCTTCGTGGTGCTGTTTGGAGATGGACCTGACATGCCAAGCAATGTGAAGAGCATTGTGAATAATGTGCTGGGCTTTGGAAGTGGTGAAAGAGACGCTTATTCCATTGCAGCAAGACATGATGTCACTGGGGGAAAGAAAGATAAGATCGCGACAGCTTTTGTTTTTCCATTTGAAAAAAAATCTCAACTGGAAAAGGAGAGTCCCGTACTGAAGCTCTCCCTGTCGACGGGTCAAACAAAGCTACGTGGCTCACAGACGGAGAATGCAGGCGAATGACGGGAATTAAAGTGAGCATGCTACTTAATGTATGACAAGCGCGAAATAACAAGCACAAGATGGATAGCTCAGCGCATAGACGCGTTATATGCTCAGAAAGCTCTCTCGTCACTGGCCTCATCACCAGCAACAAGCGAGACATTTGAGCTGTAAAAGAGGCAAAGTACCGAATAACACGAGTGTGGCAAATGCAAAAAATTGTCTTGTTCTACACAAGATCTGCTCTACATGCTCTGTAACAAATACCTTACGTTGTAAAGAAAAGGTTGAGCAAACCCTTGAGGTATGCAACGATTTCACCGGCACCCAACTTTGATTTGCCATAGATACGATCTACGAAAGTGATCGGCACCTCAGCAATCGAGTATTGACGTTGACGAGCGCGAACAAGAATTTCCATTTGAAAAACGTAGCCCAGACCTTGAATTGCACTCATAATGTCTTCGATGACGTCGCGCTTGTACAGTCGAAAGCTACCCGTAAGATCTGTTACGGCTGGGTTCAGCAACACTGTTGCCAGGTAGTTGGCCACACGGCTCGTCAGCTTCCGGCGCAAGTCCCAGCCGTATACCTGCATATTACCGCACCGTCAAGATCAAAACGAGCAATCAAACATGTCTGTCGATCTATCTCTAAAAGACAAAGCACAACGTACACCACCGCCCGACACGTATCGCGTGCCTGTCACAATATCAAAGTTTTCTTCTGCTTGTTTCCTAATGGAAGCATACAACAGACCTTTCATTATCATAATGAATCAAAAATGGTCATCAAATGTCTTTTTTTCTGGCTGTGTAACGTACTTGATGAACTCAGGAATAAACTTGGGCTGCATTAAAGGGAGACATGAACAATTGACAAAAGGCGTTACTTATCGTCTCAAATGCCTCAATTTAATCATAGTAACGTACATGATGCGAAAGATCAGCATCCATAAGAAATATAAAATCTCCTGTTGCCTTCTTGAGACCATCGCGATAAGCTGATCCAAGTCCTAACTTTCCTTCTCGTGCCAAGATAATAATCTTCTCTTTGCCGTAAATCTGCTGCAAATCTCGTGCTACTTGAAGTGTCCCATCTGGACTATTGTCTTCTACAATGACAATCTCATACGTGAGTTTACTATGTATGAAAAGAACAGGAAGAACAAATATAAAGTGCATTAGTGATTGAGATCCTATGATGATGATGATTAGAGCATTGTGCAAGCTACAGAGCGAGTTATAACACATGCTTTTTAAGCATACTTTTCGGTAAAGATCTTTTCCAGGAGCCATATCACCAGTGGCAAATTCTCTCGCTCATTGTACGTTGGCAATAGCACTGAATATTTGTGCTCTATTGTCATTTTGACCCGTGTTAAATGCTGTCACGATGTATTATATATTCTAGGTACTCTACATAATGAAGTAACGTTTACAAATGTTACTTTCTTATAATCCAAGACTCGACGTCATTCCACTTGAGAATTAAGCTAAAACTCTAAAAATTAACAAGACATCTATTGGTCCATAATTAAGTAAGTGATCGAGTACCTCCCTCTCATGTAAGCAAAGTGTCGATCACTACTTTGTGATACAATCTTGGCTTAACATTCATCCGTGAGAAAAACTCTGTCTATCTGGTCTCTTGGGCTCACACTGAGTTTCTCATTGGCCAGTAGTAATACCACACATAGCTCAGTCCCTTTCATCCATTAACTACTCTTCATCCTCGTCATCATGTAGCGAAGCCCAAGCATTTTTAGTCTCAACTGCTTTGGTATTGGGCGCCTTCATGTTCTGTAGTTGGACCTTAGCAGCATCCACACCAAGCGACGGGAATGCGCGTTCATTATCCAACTGAATACGTCGGTTAATGCGATTCCGTTGTTCTTGCTCAGCCCATGTTGTGGCCACTGATTCCTGCAATAACCAATACAAACAAGTTAGATTTACAACCCGATTCAATCACTAACAACACACTATTCGTTACGACACGCACCTCTTTATCCAAGTTTTTATACTTCTTGGGCTGTTTTGCCCATTGAAAAGCCACTTTATCGGTCTTATCTTCCTTATTTAATGACAGATCTGCGAGCTTCTTACCAGACGCTGTCGTAGTAGGTCCCGAAATCTTCTGTGGCAAAGGTGTAGGTGCGATTCCTACGCTCGGAGTTGCAGCACGTTCAGCACTCTGTGCACTGGTTTTAACAATAACGTTCGCGTTCACGGTGGTTGACTGTTTCTTTTTCCTCTTGTTAAATAGGGAGTTGAGCTTTGCATTAGCGTCCGTCATATCGAAAGATACTGGTTGGGTGGTTGAGTGGTTGGTTGGGATATGTAGATGGATGTAAACACTCAGGTTTGTTATGTACACATACATAAATACAATTAAAACTTCCATGTAAATGTCCTACTATACTGAGTTTAGCGCAGATCTAGTTATCTTTGGCGTCATGGCAAATGTACAATCTGTTATCTTTAAATAAAGGGGAGTCAAAGTCTTCATTATGCAGCAGTCAGCCCTTATACGCCCTACACCTACGCTGGGTCATTGGGTCAGTTCCAATTGAGTAATGTCGCTATTTCGATGCGAATACGGAGTATCTCAAACCCAAAGCGATCGTAAATTCCCTGTGTGTCCAGTAACAGCACAAGCTGACCGGTTGGTTTGCGTACCGGAGGCTGTGGTGCCCATAGCCAAAGTCCTCTGGTGCAATGCTGTGGTGTCGGCCCTACACTAAAGCCACGGGCATGAGAAAGGGTGATGCCATCCATCGGTCACCAAAGTTTCATTGGCAATCGGATCAGTTTTACGCTTATCTGTCCATAGTAGATTATCATCACGATGGGATGCAAGTTGATTGAGAAAAAAGCTTGCCCGTTCTAAAATTCAAGTTCACGACAATCTGGTAAGTGACCGTTCGAACCTCTCTATTTGTTGTCTCTCAATGTCAATAATAGTAATCACTTTACCGATACTGTCCCACTACGCAAATAAGTGCCACAGGCTCATGGAAGCTCTCAAAAAAGACTGGATCAATGTTATCATATCACAAATAATTTGCACAAATAAATGCACATCATGTGGCTGTTAGTGGACGTCTATTGGAAAGAGACAACGTAGTAATACATGGTATGGAATAATTGAGAGTTACACGGTTTATGTTCATGCACTCCACTCACCTGATACCTACGTGCAGGCGATTGCTTTTGCTTTGAATGAGGCATACAGGTGCCATAGTTGTTGCTATTGTATACGTTGACTACTGATCAGGTAGATGTGCTAGTTGGTGTATATAACACTGTTCAATTCAAGATGAATTGTCATCTTGAAGCGATGCGAAGCTGTCGACAAAGAGATTCATTGAGCTGATACAATGTCAACACGTAACGCTACAGTACTTGAACATTGTATTGACGGATTGATCAAGAAATGGTGGACGCAGGCTGCATTCGATGTTGTTATGAGGAATCTAGATTGGTCGTGGTGAAACGCAATGCCATAGAGACATTCCTATTGACTCTAGATCTGACAAGACGCAGAACTGAATACCGCAATGCTGTCTCTTTGCAACCAAAACACAGAAGAGACGTATTAAACATGCTGCAGCTCATACATTGCGATACTTTTGTGAGTTGGTTTGCAATTGCAACGTGCTGACGTTTTATTCTTACACTTCTCACAGGACCAACTCGTTGCCACTCGAGTCATAGCAATGCCAAAGCAGTTCAAGAAAGAGAAGAGGACGATAGGACAGTTTTGGATGTTAGCTGTTAGAAAGAGACACGATAGATATGGATATACCTCATTCAGACGCCTGAAGTACTTTATGACATATGAAACTCGTGTTTGCCACGTCACACGTATTTGTATCATACGTAACTACACCATTTCTCAATTCCATCGTCATCAAGCCACATCCACTTAAAACACTGCAAACGTTATAATATCATGACAAAATTACGCATGTCGATTGATGATATTTACGCAATGATAGGAAGTATTCGTGCTAATGTGGTAAATATGAGAGTAACAAATATCTATGATATACAACAAGGACAAAGTGATAATAGCATTGCTAAATTATATCTAGTTAAACTTCATCAACCGCCATATCCAAAACGTTTTCTATTACTTGAATCAGGAGTGCGTTTTCATACTAGTAAATATGCACGTGATATGAAATCATCGAATGTCTTACCGAGTCAATTTACAATGAAATTACGCAAACATTTACGAGGTAAGAGATTATCAGCATTGACACAATTAGAAGGAGATCGTGTCGTGGACTTGACATTTGGACACGGGACACACAAGTTTCATTTGATATTAGAACTCTATGCATTGGGTAATATCATTCTTACGGATGGAGATTATCGTATATTGTCCTTGTTGCGCACACATCGTTTTGATGAGAAGGTTGAGATGGCGGTCAAGCAAACGTATCCAGTACAATTGCTGGGTGATCAAGAGAAGAAGCAGGACGGGATCCAGACGACTGTGCACCTTGTGGAGTTTGTAAATAGATGGTTTGAGCATCAGGAGGTTAAGATAGCTGCTGCGCTACCTACTCTCGGCAAGGCGCAGAAGAAGAAAAAGACAAAGGCGCTGACGATGAAGCAGATACTGCTGCTAAAGGAGTCGACGTTTGGTGGATTGGGTCCAGCTATTATTGAGCATTGTTTAGTGCGTGCGGATATCTCACCTTCACTGAAGATTTATAGCCCTGTGGAGTTTGCGGCAGTCGGTGCAGATAAGCTGACTGCATTATTGGCTGAGATTCAGGAGGGTTGGAAGTTGCTAAAACGACTCCAGGATGAACAGACTTCTGTGAATGGTCCGGTTCCTGTCCAAAATGATGAGGAAACTACTGATGCTGAAAACGACGACCATGATGGAGCTCTTGCCGTTGCTGCTACGAACAATGCTTCTGCTGTCACAAAAAAGTGCGGATTCATCATCCTGAAGGATTCTATGGATGAGCATACTCCAGAGCAGTTCGAGCAGTTTACACCATTCTTGTACACCCAGTACTTGCACAAAAAAGTCAAGAGCTTCGACACGTTTGACGAGGCTGTTGATGAGTACTTTTCGCGCTTCGAAGGAGACGCGGCAGAGGTGGCCAAACAAAACGTTCAGCTTGCAGCGGAAAACAAGCTTGCTAAGCTTAAGAAGAACCAGGAGCAACAGCTTGCTCAGCTGCGTCAAGTTCAAGAACAGAGTTTTCAGCACGCTCAGCTGATTGAAGCCAACCAGCAGGACGTTGAGAATGTTCTTCTTGTCATTCGTAGCGCGCTGGCCAGTGGAATGGATTGGCGCGGTCTGGAAGAACTTGTGCGCTACGAGCAGAAGAATGGCAACCCCGTGGCAAGTCTCATTCACCAATTAGATCTTGAGCACAATCGCGTGTCAATCTTGCTCTGCGATGAAGACGAGGATGACGAGGATGAACATGGTGGTGACGGTACTGGCGAGGAAGACAAGCCGGCGCACATCATCTGGATCGATTTGTCGCTATCGGCGCTTGCCAATGCACGTGAAATTTATACCAAAAAGAAGAAGGCCAGAGCGAAAGCGGAGAAAGCCACGGAGGCGACCGATGAGGCAATTGCACTGGCGGAGAAGACCACCAAGAAAACACTGGAACAACAGCTAACAAAGCGCAACGTGATCTACCAGCGACGCAAAACACTCTGGTTTGAGAAGTTTCATTGGTTTCTTTCCAATGAGAAATACTTAGTAGTTGCAGGCAAAGACGCTCACCAGAATGAGCTGCTAGTTAAGCGGTATTTACGAAAGGGTGACGTATACGTTCACGCTGATCTCCACGGCGCTGCCACGTGCATTGTGCGTAACCATGCCGTTGTCAAGAACGAAAAGAATGAAAAGATCCAGGAGCTGCCGCCCATTCCTGTGGCCACGCTTGAGCAAGCAGGGTGCATGAGTGTGTGCCGCAGTAACGCCTGGACCAGTCAGGTGATTGCTGGGGCCTACTGGGTGCATGCAGATCAGGTCTCCAAAACAGCGCCAGCAGGCACTTACCTAGCGACAGGTAGTTTCATGATCCGTGGCAAGAAAAACTTCATCCAGCCTTCTCGCCTTGAAATGGGTTTAGCGATTCTTTTTCGCATTGACGAAAGCTGTATAAGCAATCATGCGCGTCAGAATGAAGGAAAAGCACACCAAGTTGCAGATGGCTCTGACAGGAAAGACGTGGGTAAAACCGAGAGTGTGTCTGTAGTAGAAAATGCACTCGCGCATCACGAGGAAGAGGAGACATCGGCAAAAAAAAAAGTTGGACGAAACTTTGTCTAAACCTCGCAAGCCTCAATGCATTACAAAGGAAGTAGACACTACAATTCAAGCAAGCGGATACGATGATGGCATGGTAGAAGCAACCGAGTCCCTGGAGCAGCCTCACCGCGATGGGAAAAAGCGATTGTCGATCAAAGAACGCCGTGACATAAAGAAAGGTAAAGTGCCAGTGACGAAAGGCTCTATTGATGACCAGTCTATTGAAGAGGGAAACCGAACAGAGGGCAAACATGTTGATGTGAAGAAAGACAAGGAAGTTACTCAAATGCTGCAGCAGAAGAAGAATGTTCGTGGGAAAATGGGCAAAATGAAGAAGATGAAGAAGAAATACATTGATCAAGACGATGAGGATCGCCGGTTGCGAATGGAGGCCCTGGGTCATGTCGTTGAGGTGGGACAAGCAGACAGAGAGAATGAGTTGACAGCGCAATCAAAGGATGAAAATGATGAAAGAAGGACCGTTGCTATTGATGTCAAGGCAGACGTAAGTGAAGAATACATCCGTCAACAGCGCGAGAAGAAGGAAAAATATCTTGAAGAACAAGAAGATGAGGCTCAAGGTGTTGATTTTTTCGATGCTTTTGTTGGTGAGCCATTGCCAAATGACATTGTGCAGTTTGCAATGCCCATGTGCGCTCCATATGCGTCACTGACAAAGTACAAATACAAGGTCAAGCTGACGCCAGGCAGTCAAAAGAAGGGGAAAGCGGCTAAACAGGCAATGGAATATTTCTTTGCATCGAATTTGAAAGACGAGAAGGACGTGATTAAGATGAAAAGACATGGAGATGAGGATGAGGATAAAATCCAGCCGGATGTGAATCCAATTACAGTGCAGCGGGAACTTCTGCGATGCATTGAAGAGAACGAAGTGGTGAGTTGTATGGTTGGACCTGTGAAGATCTCGGGGCAAGCATTGCATGCTTTTGATGCTGGTGGCAAGAAGGGAAAACGCTCGTGTAACAAGCCTAAGAGAAAGAAGAAGTAGGAGTAGTGGCTATATTCATTTGCCTTTAACATTGAAAAGAGAGACACAGACAATTCTATGGACGTAGTCAAGGTTTGAAAGATGTCTCGTAAGTCTTAAGCCTCGTTAGCAACGTCGGTTCCTCGGTCGAGTCCGGTGGTTGCACGGGGCTAGTCACCTGCGGTGACGGCGCTCGCGGTTGCCGTGCTATGGCGTGCTGGCATCGTTGTAGACGTGTACTGTTGATGTCCGTTTCTAAGCGTTTGCTCTCCTCGCGCTTACCGGTTGCACGGAGTTGTCACAGGCTAGTTACCCAGAACTCCTTATCGCTGTCTCCGATAGTCTTGTTTGCCTGCTGGAACGTTGCCCAGTGTCATTGTATCCATAAGCAAGCAATGCATATGATGCTCAGGATGGTCCATAGGCGCCGCCATACGTCGACGTTTGCGGCCGCTTCATCGGAGTAAGCAGGTTAAGTTGTTCACGGACCACCGTGGATAGCTCTGGTGCGTGTCTTCTTGCACTGTTGGCTAGGAAGCCCTGAAGACGTCCAAGCTCCCATTGTTCTCTAGTCCAGTGGCAGATGAGCTTTGCCAGCATGCTTGCGCGCATGGACATGTCCAAAAAATATGCTCTAACGTTTTCTTTAGTCCACGGTAGCATTGCAGCTTACTACAACTGTTGTCGCTTGCTTTTTCTGCATGGTAGAAATGTAATTGCCGTATGGCTACTCGATACACGACCCAAACCTGGTGCTCCATAAGCACGCAGCAATGGTCCCACTCTACTCGTGGTATCTGTAAAGCTGCAGACTGCCATGCACTCACTTCCGCCGCAACTCGGAGCCGTTGCACAGTGTTCCGCTGTAAATACATTGAACCTTTGAACCGCCGAGATGCTTGTTTTATTTAATGCCAATAGTACATGTCCGTTGGTAACGGAATCAGGCAAACACCATGGAAAAGCCATGAAGGAGCGGATGCGCGCGGACGACCATGCCATCTGCGTCTTGGGCCCTCCGTAGTTTCTGATAGTCGGCCACTGTATACCGCTCCTCGTGTTGGTCGCCGTAACTTTCCAATGGATCCCATTACTCTGTTGTTCCAGTTCTATCACAACCCGCTGTCCTCGGCCAGAGGCTGCCAGAACTTCTCGAAAATGTGGCCCATCGTGATATACTCCCACAAATGTGCATGAGTACGATGCTTCGGGTGACGTGGTACGAGGGCCTGCCGGATTCGAACAGCTTTCCAATTTTCAAACTCGGAGTGCTGAGCAAATGCGCGGTATCCTAAGGTCGCAGCTTGGCTCGTTGATGCGTCGACACCCCTTCAATCCCCCAATTTTGAAAGTATTTCCCGCACCCATAACAAGCTTCAGTTGCAGCAAATTTTCCAAAGCTTTACGGGCTTTGCTGCGCGTTGGTAGTTGTGCAAGCATGTTGTGAAGACGAAAAAAGGTTTCCCACCAAGAGTATACCATTTCCAGCGTAAGCACACGCTGACTGCCTTTCCCAAATGCCCCATGCCGATTAGCAGCGCGATACCATGCTCCGTAACAGTCTCTAAAACAGCAAGTTGATGGTCTTGCTCCAGCAAATGCCTCGCCAGCCGAAAATGCTGAGCTGTGAGGAGCGGCTCATCAACACTTATGTAATAGACGGCAGCTGCAGCAAGCCGTACAAAACAATCCTGCGACTCGCCAATGTCGTAGTCAAACTCGAGACTCGCAAGGAACTTACTTTGCTCCACAAACAGTTCATACACACTGGTGGAGAAAGCTGCTGTGTAGTCGGCAGATGGCTGTCTGAGGTCACTGTAAAAGTCCCATGAACTCTTGTCGAAAGAGAGCAGGTCTACCAGGTTATTGCCGGATCTTCGCGAAGGAGGGTTGTTCAAGAACGATCTGGAGGTTCGAGAATCTGGTACACACTCAAGCAGGAAATACAGCAGAGTAAATATGAGCCGTCATCTACTCATCAGATGCTAAACTCAATGCACCTAATCGATTTCAAGCAGCAAAAGATGATTCAAATATTCTGCCTGGAACGCATTTGCTTTTCGAATTGTCCACGACATTGTAATCATCCGTGATACCAAGCACACCCAGCTTGATGTCTGTTGCCTATGTTAAGTGAGCAATACGGCATGTAAATTACGGCACGTCCAAGTATTTGAAAAAGCTCCACAAGTAGAACCTAAAGCCAATCAAGCAAGTTGTATAGCAAAAATTGCTTGGTATTGCTCTTTTCTTGCGCAAAATGCTTGAAGGTATCTACAATGACGATCATATGATCCTGTGCATTGGATTTGGCGACAAGTAAACCACGTAGATACTCGTACATATTCCAGTAAGAAGCTGCCTATCCACAAAACAATATTTCATCAAGATAATGTCATAACAACGTAATCCATACTGTTAACATTTATACTCCCGGCACAATCAATGGTAAAGCAAACCGGATGCTTCACTGCAGTGGTTCTACGACTAAGCTGTTATCCTCTAAAGCCTCTAGCTCATTCTGCAGTATGACACTATTGAGGTATACGACCGTAAAGTCGCCGTATGTAGCACACATGTTTTTCGTTGCACATGTAACGATCGAGTGTCTATAGCTGCCCATAGATCCAAGTAAGAATCCTGACTGGTTCTCGCCAAACTGCACTGTCCGCATGAGTTGTGTCACTGCTTCAAGTCTACAATGTTTGGGCGTAACTGACTTGATTTTACTGTTATTACTATCACATGTATCAATTGAACCTCGGACGTCTTTATTCGTAAGACGCAGACGCAGAGCACAACGCACAGAGCGTATCTATCTCTTCTCTAACGGTATCATAAAGCTATGCACTTGTGAGGTTGTTTTCGTAACAAATGAAAGCAAAAAAGACCTGAAAGTGATGTGGATTTATATACTTCGAGTAGCTTTAGGAACCACTTTGGAGGTCGTCCGTAAAAATATACTTGTAAAACGGTAATATAAAATAGTATAGTAGACAAATACTACAAGTATCACCGTTTTAGCTGTATCAATACTACATGCAGTTTATCTTTTGAACAAGCAAATGAACATTATCAAACAACACACATTTATAGGGATAATGACACCGTATAGTATCTCGTCGAGGTGATGGAAGGTAGATCTGTAGGCCAAGCATGTATAATTGTACAGAGTAATAGCAGATTGTGGAAAAAACGATCGAGAAACGAATTTGCAGCCAAAGAAAACTCTCGTGGCGCTTGACGATTGTGTCTATGGACTCTGAATGTTCGGTTTACTTTGCTGCTACTTAGCATCATGTGCTCGTGTAACGTGGTTGTGTCGAGTAACTTGTTCGCTTTGTATTATTTAGACTTATGTGCACATCTATAGAAGCGATGACGACATCATGGCGTTGCTATGTAGTCGTCGATTGTAAATCGGCACTTATGAGCCTTTTGCAGCCAGCATTTATGTAGCAAATCATAGACGTGTTTAATACGCCTTTTAAAACTTATGCACTTTGATGGTACAATGGTTTATTAAGGCCAAGTCTTGAACTTGTATTTGTTGCATTATAAAGCTACAATAATTGTCAAAAGAATGCAGTTCGATGACTATTGAGCTCACTTTTGAATTTCATCTTCAGAGTAAGAATCCATTAATTTATCCATTGTACGTAAAAGATTGTTCCCATACGATTTGAATAGTACATAAGAATGACTACTACTACTGTAACTTCATCTCTTTCCAAGTCTTGTCTCTCTTGTGGTAAAATCAATGCTATAAATCGATGTGGTAATTGTCGTCGTGTTCATTTTTGTGATCGCGATTGTCAGCGTCAGAGTTGGCCAAGTCATCGTGCTGAATGTCTTCGAGCTCTTCACAAGACAATGGAAACAATTTCATCTAGTGAGATAGAGTACGCTTCTACTGCTGCTACTTCACGTGTAATCACGTCACCATTGAAGATCATGAATGGTCCTGTTCAAGAGCCTATGCAGGTTGTAGAGAGATCGGCTATATCTACAGCAGCAGCAGCAGCCGTCGTCGTCTATGAGGATAAACAGCCCAAAACGCTTTCAAAAGCAAGTAAAAAGCACAAGAAAAAGCGTAAAGCACGCAGTAAAAGCATGCAAATGTCGTCTACAAATGTCTTATTGGCCCAAGAATTGCAACGGAAAAGTCGTTCAACTTCTCTTGGTGGCAAAAAGCACGTCATATGGGGTGACGTATCAGCCAGAGAGTTTGCCCGGTTTCCAGGTGGCGGTAGTGCTGTTCCTTACGATGGCACGTGGGCTTTAGGTCTTGGTAAAAAGATTGCAGATGTGGAGCTTGGTAGTGTGCAAGAGGTTGAGCTATTGCGAGAACAAGCGCTGCAGGAACGAGCTAAGAAATTGTCCAAATCAAAGCGCCGCGATGTCCGCGTAGGCGAAACCCGCCAATTTGATTATCGGCATGGTGTTGAAAACCCTCTGTTTCAGCGGCTGAGTGAAGACGATCGTAAAAAAAGTATTTACGCTGGAAAAGCAGACTCAGGAGGAAGGAGCATTTCAAACTCCAATGTTATCGTCTGTTGAGATAAAAAAGTTAAGACGGAAGTACTCGACTGGGTCTACCGCGAGTCTCGAGTCTTTTGAGGAACTTCAGGTGGCCGATGCAGCCATGACGGCCCCAGACTTTGGCTGTGTGTCGATTGAACAGCTAGAAGAATTTGTCAAGATTCGTGGCTCTCGTGATGGTGCATGTGGCTGCTCGTGCGGTGACCTGGTCAAAAAGGTGGCCAAGATGAGTGTGAAAAAGCTGCGCGCGTTTTTGCAGGAACGCAATATCCTGCCGCCTGGTCCGGGCAAGACGGAGCTAATGGCTGCTGCAAAGAAGGTGGCGCGCGAGGAGAAGAATTGCCAGAGCGCCGACTCAGACTGCGAATGCGCGCGCAATGGGGTGCCCTGCCACTCGGACGTGTGTGAAGGCTGCGCTGGTGACTGCAACAATCCTTTTCAGCGGTATGAGTACAAGAGCGACGAAGTGAAGCAATACCGCAAGGAGCAATTAGCCAAGTGGCAGCAGCTTCAGGTCGAACTCACGCAATCGAGTGAAGCGGCTGCGCCCGTTTGTGTTTCTTAAACATGCAAAAAAAATATTGAGGAAGTTTCTGTAGCCACCAACGTACTTGATATGGTGAGAATGAAGAATTGCACCAAGTTAACTATAAGAACGAAAGTATACAAAAGTGCAAATTATGCATTGAAAGCACTCTTAACGCATTACTGTGTGTCAACAAAGCCACATTGCTGCTACATACAAAGCCAGAATGGTCTAAAGCAAGATGTGTCATTCACATGTTATGATATAAATCCAACTTCCACTGAGTAGCCGTGTCGAACTCTGCTTTTCGATCAAGCAAGAGGCACATGCAACACTAATCGGCTACTAGCTCCCTGCGGCACCATTCTGCTATTTTTGCTCAGCTCTGCAGCTCCATGCAAGTCGTTTGACTTGACTGATCCATTTGCGGCAGTACAGCGACGAACAATTAGCCTACAATTACCGTCGTCGCGAGAAAATGCTGCGGGTGCCACGGCTATGAGGTTGACTGCTGGGTTGTGTTGCACGTTTGTTACGGCGCTTATACACGGCAATCTGGTCATCAACACGAATGCCCCACTGCAAATGCTCTGCTTTCACGGCGGCGCTCAGGAATAAATTTAACTTCTCGGCACGCTCGCCAATTGTATGTTGTGAGAAGTTACCTACAAGGTGACGGTGCGGAAGGTCTGGAATGTCACGGCGTTTCATCCCGTTTTCTTTCATGAGACGGTCACATAAGGAGCTACACCATAACAAAAAATATAGACAACAACATAAGAATCGCATTCACCAGCCACAACATTATAGAAGATGTTACGTACCGAAAGGTACGATAACGCTTCCAACAGAACACCGTGCCATAATTCGTTGTGCGGATTTCCAGCTTGTACTGAATAAATTTGCTGCCCGTCCGATTTACAATGCGGCTATCAACAATGCGAGCGGATTCGAGACCGATCTCATCAGGAACTGTAATAACAAACACAGTCGTTATTAGTAAAAACATTCACCATCATACGTAAAACCCAGGATCGTATACTTGGTAACGAAGCATCCTCCACAATCGCACGCTCCTCTTGTTCCTCTACGTGAACAACAACATCCTTAATCTGCACAAACGCCAGGAACTGGTCGTCGTCCGGTGCGTTGATCTCAGTGTTAATAGCATAACATCCAACATGTGGGTCAAGACCCACGACCTCACCCGTGCCAAACGGCGTGTCCACTTTGGTGCGCGGAGACAAAATACGCTCGTCGTCAAGATCGATGTCGCCACTTGGCACAGTGATCTGCATCGCACCCACTGAGCTATCCATTTCGACAGCATATGTTTCGCGATGCTTGTCGTAGCTCACAATGCGGCCCGGGCCACGCTGACGTACGAGCACTGGCACGTCCTTCGACATCGATTGCTCATACTTTTCATTTTTTTCTTGCTGTATGCGCTCTTGACGAATGCGCTCCGCCTCTTCTTCGGCTACCTTGGCAGCAAGAGCCATCTCTGCGAGTTTACGCTCACGATCTTCACGCTCCGCTTGCGCACGGCGCTTCTCTTCTTCCAAAATACGCGCTTTCTCGGCCTCACGTTCAAGACGTTCCTCCTCCTCGCGAGACTGAGCAGCAAGAAAAACAGCCTCCTCCTCTTCCGCGCAAATCCGCTCCTCTTCAGCAAGACGTTCCTCCTCTTCACGGCGAAGCCGCTCCTCTTCTTCTTCACGAATCCGCTTTTCCTCGGCAAGACGCACTTCTTCCGCACGAATTGCCTCCTCCTCAGCCAGGCGAGCAGCTTCCAAAACGGCCAGTCGCTTCTCTTCAGCCTTGCGCTTGGCCTCAGCCTCTTCAGCAACACGACGTTCTTCCTCCTCAATCAAACGAAGCTCTTGAAGTCGCATCGTCTCCTCTTCTTGACGTCGACGCTCTTCCTCCATTTCTTGCTCCTTGCGGACTCTCTCCTCTTCTGCTAGCTGCTCAGCTTCCTCCTGAGCCGCAATCGCTGCAGCCTTGCGTTCTTCTTCAAGACGACGACGCTCCGACGCGGCTTCTGCCTGTTTCATACGAATCTCTTCTTCCGCACGACGTTCATTCTCAATTTGTTCACGACGTAAGCGTCTTGATTCTTCCACACGTGTATCATAGGCAGCATCATTTAATTCTTTAGCTGCACGTTCGTCATCGGAGAGTTCCTTGAGCATATCTGCATCACGTCTATCTTGATCCTGTCGTGCCAAATCAGCCATATACTGAGCTCCATGTTTTTGTCGTAGCTTTCGTACAGCAAAAGCACGTCCAAGACTCTGAACCTTTGTTGCATTCTTATGAACATACGCCATTGTCTTTGGACGATGTAAATACCAGAATTTCACGGCAGCTTTCGAACTCATGATTGTTTCTAAATCTAAGGATCGTAATTCAGTCTCATCCGATTGCATTGCTTTATGTGTAGCTTCATCACGATGTAATGCTTCATGATCTGTTAATATATTTGATTCACGTCCATCATTAGGTTTCCAATAGGACGAATACATGAATCAAAAGAGCGAATGAATTAAACCCCTTCTTCCTTGTTTCTTTTGATAGGGACTCGATAGTAACGAGTAGAGAGGAGAAATGCTACGTCAGTAAGTAAAGAGAGAGAGAGAGAAAGAGAGGAGAGAGAGCAGTGAGAAGAAGAGGCACACACACACACAATAGCGCACGGTCGCAGCTTGTCGATTGTTTGAATCGAGCGGGTTAACGGGTTAGTAGTTTGTATTATGAACGCTTTATACTTAATAACAAATGAAACCCACCCGTTTTATAACGTCGCAAAAATCTATCTGGCTTTAAAAGCGTAGCGATATAAGTCGCATTACTCACAAAGTCATATTACTCACAAAGTCGTATTACTCACAAAGTCGTATTACTCACAAAGTCGCTAACATATATCTCAGCTGTAATCACTCCGGGACAAAAGCTTGTATAACTTGACCATTTATTGTCTTTTATACAAGTATAGTCGTATCCATTACATGGTTGTTTCACACTGTCTTTGCCATCTATTAAGTATTTGGTGATGCTCATTTGCAACCTCGCAACATCTCTGTGTCGTGTAACAGTGCACCTTCTGATTCACCGTTTTGCAACGTCTTGTCGTGATCGGTAGTGAGTTTGTCCAGCCTTGTCACTGGCTTATTCACGGAATGGTCGATAGATGTCGAGAGAGGTTATGAAATGCGCTACAGCTTTCAACCTTATGAGTTGAAGTGAAATTGCTGCAAGATTACTAAAACATGTACTTGTAACAATGTGCATTAGTCTCTCAATCTACACAAGATGGTGTTTAAAAGCGCTTAGCAAGATGCTGACGTGACGATGTGATCCTGCTTATAATATCAAGTTATAAGAAGGTTGCAAGTGTACGACGTTGTTCGATTGTTACGCTTCACTACAACGTCGTCCATCGAACGTCACGGGGACAAGAAGCACGACAAAAACAAAAGATTATCATATGCTTTAACAAGTACCATGTCAATAATATACTAGAAAGCTTTACAAATCGCCATTCAGCTACACAAGGTAATTTCAACTTCAGTTTCTTTGACATTTGGGCCAAATCAATGACGTAGGATTTTGTTGTATTGAAGAAAAACCCACGGGTCGATGTCAG